TTTTTTGGTACCGGGGATTTAACTTGGGTCCTTGCGCTTGTGCAGCAGACGGCAAAACCACTGAGCTAAATCCCCAACCCCCCAATTATAGATTTGAATACTTAAATGGCTAAAATGTTATAGTTTGGTAAAACCCTTCGTAAGGCCTAAAATAGCTTGTTTTAAAAGCTGGAGCATTGGGCTGGGGATTTAGCTCAGTGGTGCTGTCGCCTGCCTCGCAAGCACAAGGTCCAGAGTTCGATTCCCGGTACCAAAAAAAAAACAACAAAAAAACTGGAGCATGAAGTGACTTGATTTGTGCTAGAAGTGTCCTGTGTAAGTTTGGGGTTGGGGTGTCCCTCTGTTTCTGGGAAGATGCTCAAGGGGACTTCTGACTCTGGAGCTTTGCCAAATGGGGAGATGGTTCCGGAGGCCTGCTGGGGAGAAGTCGCAGAGGCATGCAGGACTCGGCAGCCCCATGGAGCAGAAGGTGCTGTGGTTGAAAGGAGCATCCTGCCTGCTGCCAACAGTGCAGTGACCGCAGGGGCAGCGGGCAGCGGGCATGGGCAGTGGAGCTAGGTAACTGGGGGTACAGTTCTTAAGTTTTAGGGTTTTAATTAACTTTAACCTCAGTAAGCTAGCAACTACTGAATTGGAAAGGGCAGTTTTAGACTATTTTACAAGTAGGTTTTTTTGGGGTTTTTTTTGGTACCGGGGATCGAACTTGGGTCCTTGTGCTTGCGCAGCAGGCGGCGAAACCACTGAGCTAAATCCCCCGGCAAGTTTTAGACTATTTTAGTAAACTGCCACAAATTACTTTTTGGATTGTCACATGGGATTCTAGGTTCTTGGATTTTTTTTTTTTTGGTTGTATCAGGAATCGAACTCAGGACCTTGTACTTGTGAGGCAGGTGAGGTGCCTCTGAGCTAAATCCCCGGCCTAGGTTCTTGGATTTTACTGTTGCTTACTTTGGAAGTTTTACTGTTCAATGTGACTTTCCAGAATGCTTTTGCTTTCTCAGTTTGCTTTTTTCCCTTATATAGGTGGCTCAGGAATGGATCAGCTCTCCAAATAAAAAGAATTTCTATGAGTTGCATTTACGAAAATTTCCGACTGATTATAAAAAAACCTGGGAATTTGTAGGTAAGGTCTTTCTTACATATACCTTGGAATATGTGATAGAATAATTGGAGATTTCTGCTTAAGAGGAGACATCATCAGTCATTGAATTTTCTAAGACAGAGGTTGGTTTTGTTTTTGCAGTACTGGACATTGAACCCAGGTCCTTGCACAATACTCGTCAACAAGTGCTGTAGCGCTCAGTTGCATTCCCAGACCTTGAGACATAGCGCCTATTGGGACAATTGTGCATATAGAATTCACGTTTCTCTACTCTGCAATTAGAATCCCATAGGCTGAAGTGTCAGTGGGAGCTGGGGCTGGCAGGGAGGTTGGTGAAGGGCTTGAGGGGTTGCGCAGCAATCTCTAGACCCTTCCCCAGTCTTTCTGACATCTGTGGCCTTGTCTGAACCGCATAGCACTTTGTGTATTAGTTATAAAGAAATCACCAGGATGTAGCTCAGTGGTGCCGCCGCCTGCCTTGCAAGCGCAAGGTCCGGAGTTCGATCTCCGGTACCAAAAAAAAAAGAAAAGCAAAACAAGAAATCAGACATTCAAACTCTTTCAATTAAAAGGCATAAGTCCTCTTTTTACCTCCTCCATGGCAATCCATCCAGCCTTGTAGGTCCATTTAAGAGAGCAGTGAGCAAATGAGAATATCTGGGGAGAAAACTACAGTGTGTTGATTATAGACTAGCTCGATAATTGCCCACAATTTTCACCATTCAGAGATAATTCCATTAAGATTGGTACGTCTGTGACTGCTAGGCTGTATACTTACTCTTGGGAGAGAGTGTGTGTGCGTTGGATTTATTTTACTTTGTGACATTTTTCATCAGCCATTCGCAAATATTTGATGACTTTATTGGCCTGACAGTGGGTGATGCCAGAAGAAGGATATGTAGCTGTGAAGAAATTTTTGCCTTTATGAAGCTTATATTCTACTTATTTTATTTTCATTTAATGTATTTTACCTTCAATGTTATTCAGTAACAGTATATTTAATAGTTATAGTTACTTCATTATAAGCATGTTCCATAGTTCATTTAACCGGTCATCTCTAGTCAGACTTGAAAAGCATTTAGTTTTCAGTATTATAAATACTCTGAATAAGTCCCTTTGCTAGTTAAAGCCATATGTACATTTGAAAACTTTTGATTTGTATTGCTTGTCCCAGCCAGAAGGAATACTGTTTTCACTCCAGTCATTAGGATATAAGGATGTGCATTTGTCTCATGAGCTAATTTAGACTTTTTCCCCCAGTTATATGTAAGCATGTATATCATTTACAGTGGTGGTTTTTGTTACCAAGTGTTTACAGGTTATTTCTGTTCTTGAAGTTGTGGGAATATTTTTGCCTCTTCATGGCTTTTCACTTTTTTCAGGTAGATGTTTTTTCTTTTCTTAATTTGTAAGTGTTGCTGCAGACCTTTTTTTTTTGGTTTCATTATTTGTTGCCATTTTTGAGGCATAGATAATTTTAGTCTTCATGTATTCAAAACTACATATTTATTTTTGTTACTTTATTATATATCGAGTTCTAATAACCACAGAACCTAAAGCCATTGAAACATGTTCCCCTTCCCTGCCACACACAGGGAGGTGCTTTATCCCTCTTTGCAGTTTTATTCATACCCTTAGTAGTGAACCCACACTCACAGGATTGCTCTGCAATTGGGGAGATCCAGCTGGGATGCAGAGGGCTGGGACAGGGAGACTACTGGAGCAACTCTTGGTGGGGCGGCTTTTTCTCCCTTCTTGCCTCTGATTTGGCTAAAACTTTACTTGAGCCCTGGGGTCTGATCTAAAGTTTTCCCTCCCACTTGGAAGAGAGAACTGTGTAAATTTCTGCCGTTTTCGCAAGGTCCTGAGTTCGATCCCCAGTACCAAAAAAAAAAAAATCAATTTCTCTCTACCGATTTGTGCCACCCAAAGGTACCTTTCTGAAACTTTAGGCCTTTACCTACCCCCCCCCCCCCGTAGGAGAAAACAAAACCCAAGGTATTACCTGGCTGTGCTTTTCTTCTTTTTTTTTTTTGGTACCAGGGATTGAACTTGGGACCTTGCTCTTGGAAGGCAGGTGGTGGAACCACTGAGCTAAATCCCTGGCCCTGAGCTATGCTTTTCTCCCCTCACTTCAGCCAGCATGGCCAAATTCAGGTGGAGGGAGGCAAGTGTGTCCAGCTAATTAGCTCTTGTGGAGTTGGATCTACTTTTAACTTGACAGGGAAGCCTGGTGTGGTAGTGCCCTTCTGTAATCCCAGCCCTCTAGGAGCCTGAGACAGGAGGATCACAAGTTCGAGCCCAACCTGGGCAACTTAGTGATTTAGTGAGACCCTGTCTTAAATATTTTAAAAAGGCCTGGGAATGTAGCTCAGTGCAGAAACCCTGGATTCATTTTGCATTTGAAAGATAACAAAACCGAAAAAAAATCCCATAGGTATCTTTTACCTTTTCTAACACAGACATCTCAGCTGCTGTTCACACCGCACCCTACATGACTTGCTAGTCCACCCAGGCACCAGCCAAATGCTTCATTCTCCACACTTGAATCTTTTCTTTCCCTAACATTGTCTTTAGTGACTCAGGAGTGTTCTAGCAAATCCCACTTCTCACCCCAGCTCTGGCGGGAGGGTCCCTCACGTCACCTGCCCCCACTCTTGATGATCACTAAGAAGACTCATAGGATCCCGCATATCCAGACAGCTGTGACTTAGAGTTGTGAAAGACAGAGCAAAGTCAGCAGCAGGAAAAGGCACATCGGGCGGAGGTTAGAAGAACCAGTCCCCAGGTTCTTGGTGTGCCCAGTTCTCTCATCAGCCACGGGTGAGATGTCATCTGCTGCAAGTGCTCGTTAGAGACTCAGTGCCCAGATGCCCTGTGGCTAGCAGAAACCAAAATTCTAGGCTCCTCAGAGGTGTTTGGCATCAGCAGTTTTTTTAAAGAAAAAGTTCTTTGCTCTGTTATATGAATTTTAAAATCAGTTTGTAAATTTCTATAAAAATGCTTCCTGTGATTTGACAGGATTGCTTTAGAATTAAGGATTTATTTGGGGAGAATGGCACTTCAAGTCTTTATGTCTCAGGTCTTTCATTCACATATCTCTCATCATTTCTTTAGACTGTCTTTAGTTTTTTTCTTTTTCAGTATGGTGCTGGGGACTGAACCCAGGGCCTCACGCATGCTGGACAAGCATGCTGCCAACGAACTATTTCCAGCCCATTATGTTACTCTGAGCCAGGGCTTTACTAAATTGCCCCTGCTGGCTGTGAACCATGTGATCCTCTTCCTCAGCCTCCCAAGTAGCTCGGATTGTCGGTTGTGCCACCACCTCTGGCCATCTTGAGTTTGTCTTGGTTGGCGTGTTTTATACTTTTCAGAGTATAGTTCTTTCACATATTTATTGAGATGATTCCACTGTTTTGATTTAGTGTTTTGGTCTGCCTGGTCCCAGTACTTCGTGGGTTTTTTTTTTGGTACCGGGGGATCGAACTCGGGTCCTTGCGCTTGTGTCAGTACTTTGTGTTTTAATCAGTGTATTACTGGTGAGTTCAGCAGTTGGTACTGAACTTTTTGATTCCAGTGCTCACTGTTTTCCAGGTCCCATGTAGTTTACAACTGTCCTTCCCCCTCATTTAAAATACCATCAGCAAACTCAGTTCTTACAAGTACCTGTATTTGTTTCTAAACAGATCTGAACTTGTATCTGTTTCTGAATTTTCTCCTAGGGTTTTGAAAGTGGGCAACAGTGAGAGAATCTATTGATTAAAAGCCAGAATAAACCTCAGGGAAATAAAATGTATTAGCTACTTCTAAATATTACGATTTTATCTGTTTTGGCTTTGTAGCCAGTTTAAAGAGAAATTTTATAAAATGTCGTAGTCAGTATTTTAAAATTTTTTTGGATTACTATTTTATTGGATTAAAGTATACACAGTGTACTAGGGCTTGTGCTTTTGGACTTAGTACAATTTAAACTAATCTTACTTAAAATCATTGTTAGAGTTCTGTAAATGCTGACTTCTTGTTCCGCAGTGTATCTGGAGGAATGTGAACTGGCTAAACAGTTTCATCCGAAGGAAAATGATTTGGTGTTTTTGCTTCCTGAGAGACTAAGTGGAGAGAAAAATTATATAGAGAGAAATCACATCCAGGATCTCCATGAATATCACTGTGGTTACATTCACAGGTTTCGCCGCACGTCAGGCAGTAAGTAGATACTGAGGCTGACGGAATTGATTGGATATAGCGGTGCCTTGCTTCACAGACAAATGTTTGGCAAAATTTTGTTTTTGTTTTTGAGCTCTGCATGGGTGACGAACACAAAAGTAGCCTCCTCCAGAACGGAGGAACGAGTTCAGTCCCTGAACTGAGGTACCACTGTATAAGCTCCGCTCCCCATTTTCCTGTAAATGCTGTTTACCTAGCTTTATATTTGCTGCGCATTTACCCAGCAGTTATCTGGTAATGCCGTTCAGAATGCCTTTCTAGTTTTTCTAGACTTAAGACCCCATATTTATGCTGTGGCCATGTGATTTAAAAGCTTTCTTTTGTCATGACCTCCTCTTCTGGTACATTCCTTCATCTGCTGTTGTGTATATTACTGCACCAACCATTTGAAAATTATTATGCCTTTTTTTTTTCCTTCTTCCTAGGAATGGGGATTGAACCCAGGGCCTTTGCATGGAGCTTATCTCCAGCCCTTTTTTATTTTTATTTTTTTTTTAATTTTTGAGACTGGGTCTCACTAGGTTGCTAAGTTTCCCAGACATTACCGTGGTCTGCAGAATTCTGTAAAATATAATCGCCTGATTTAATCTCTGGATCTCCTGGTCCTCTTCTCCTGACTTTTCCTTTCAGCCACACTAGCCCCCTCCTCAAGTCTAAAATAGTCCTCACACATCTTTTTTCCTGGGCACTTGGTAGCTGGTAGTTCTCCGCCTGCAGCACTCTACGCCTTAGTGAAGACTTCTTGTCTTACCTCAGTCTCCGCTCACTGTCGTCTGAACAGGAAGACCTTCCCTGGCCAGCCTGTGTACCGCCTCATCCCCTTCTCGCCTTTCCCCATAACACTTAACACCATCGGATGTGTTTATTTGGTGCCCTCTTCCCTCCTCTAGAAAATAATCTGTTCTGTGGAGAACAAGGACATTGCCTGGTTCTTAAGAAGCATTCAGTGGAAACTCATTGAGTGATTTATTTAAATAACATACCATACAAAATAACATAATTCTGCCAAGGATTTAGCTCAGTGGTTCCGGCACCTGCCTCACAAGCGCAAGGTCCCGAGTTCGATCTCTGGTACCAAAAAAAGATCAAAATACTTAATTCTGAATAACCTTAACCGACAACATTATTCAGTGGTAACTGAAATTGTCTTTTCTCCTTCTTGATAATAGTGTGTAATGGAAAATCTGAGTGCTCCCTTTCCATTCAGACTCAAGATGATTTCCAAGCCAATTTAAATGAATTTATGAAATGCATTATAATCAGTTCTCTGGTGACTACACAAAGGAAGTTGAAAGCCATGTCTCTATTGAGTGGCCGGAACCAGCTGGCCAGAGCTATTCTGAATCCAAACCCCATGGATTTCTGTACCAAAGATTTACTAACTACAACATCTGAGAGAATTGTGAGTACTGACCATGTAATACCCAGGAAAGTCAGAAAATTGTATGTCATATGTTGAAGTGTCATATTTATAGATGCTACATACTCCACAGAATGTCGACAACCACACATGTTCATAGTACAAGTGCAGAAGTGTAGTTAGATTGTATCTATCTATTTATCTGTCTAGAGACAGGGTCTCACTGTGTAGTTCAGGTTGGCCTTGAACTCACTGTGTAGCTGAGGCAGGCCTCAAACTTGTGGTAATCCTCTTGCCTCAGCCTCCTGAGTGCTGGGATTATAGCCATGCTCCATCATGCCTGGCCTGTATTTAGATTTTAATTTTCTTTAATATTGGAAACTATGTGACCAAGTTGGTCAGCCTACCTCAAGGAAATGTATGAACAAAAAAGAGCAGAATGGGGCCAGAGATGTAGCTCAGTGGTGCCAGGCACCTGCCTGGTAAGTGCAAGGTCCCGAGTGAGCTGAAGACACATCGGTGTGGTGGGAATACCATTAAGATTAGGTCAGCAGGGCCAGGGATTTAGCTCAGTGGTTTCGCTGCCTGCTGCACAAGCTCAAGGATCCAAGTTCCATCCCCGGTACCAAAAAAAAAAAAAAAAAGATTAGGTCAGCATCCCGTTTCAGTGTTGCCAGGTGATGGGAATTCAGGAGCAGGGATGTTGGGTTTCGTGAGTTAGTTTTACATTTGAGCGACTGCGTGGAATTGGCTGGTATTGCTGCAGATGCGAAGACGAAGCTGTTGTCTTGTGTGAACTTGTGTTTTACACTATGAGAACTGTGTATGAATTCCAGGAAGTGGACACAGAAATACAAACGGACACTAAAAGTTTTGAACCCTTCCTGTGTTACAGGGTTTTTGTTTTATCTCAGTCAAATCTTAGCTTTTAAGGAATCACAAATTTAATAGACAGAAGTTGAGACTCAGAGGTTTAGTGACGTAGCTTGAAAGTAAAATTGACTGAAAACCATGGTTTTCCACAAATCACATCATGTTAGGAAAAAACTGTGAAATATTTTTACTGTCTAAATAGAGAATTTTTTAAAAGGAAAAAACCCACAAAGAATAACTGAAGAAAAGTATACGTTAGTAAGTGAAATGCATTGTGATCATCTTTGTAGAAATTACAAAAATATAGTTGTAGTATTTGCAAGTTGACTGAAGACTATAGATACTAGTTAATAATCAGTAACTACATAGCTTTTTTTCTTTTTTTGTTTGTTTTTTTGTGTTTTGAGACAGGATCTCACTATATTGTGCAGGCAGGTCTTGAACTCACTTTGTAGCCCAGGCTGCCCTCAAACTCAGTGATCCCTGCCTCCTGACACTAAGTAGATTTCTTCCCGGTAATGAAAATGCTTCTTACAGGTCACTTTGAGGTCTTCCTGGGCATAACCTAAGCTTTGCAACACACCTTGGATGAAATTCCAACGGATGGTTTTCATTGTCTTTCATTGTCACTGCAGAAAAACCGGCTTGTTCTCACACATGTCTCTTTATATAGATAGCCTACTTAAAAGATTTCAATGAAGAGCAGAAAAAGGCAGTAGAAACTGCGTATGCCATGGTGAAACACTCGCCATCAGTTGCCAAAATCTGCCTGATTCATGGACCACCTGGGACTGGAAAATCAAAAACTATTGTTGGCCTCCTCTTCCGCTTACTGATGGAGGTGGGTGTCCCAGGCTACTCCATTTGACCCTGTGGCTGGCCTGCAGGTGTTAGAGCGCCTTCCCTGCCTATTTCTGAAACCGTGTCAGGGAGAGGAGTGGTCCAGAGAATGAAGCGTGGGAAGTGAGAAGACCGGAAGACGCCATTTAGTGTGGAGCAGGCCCAGGGCCAGGAGGGTATGGTGGTCTCCGGCCGTGTTAGGTCGCAGCTGTGCAGGAAGCTGCCTCGAGTGTATTCCTGGGCTGGGTGCTGGTTAAAGGAAGTACCATAGGTGGCAAAGGAAGGCTCAGAACCTGGGAGACAAAATGCTGCACAGTATAACTTTGGTGTCAGTGTAACTGTAGATGCTTTTACAGTAATGATTTTTAACTGTATTACGGGAACTTACTGGCATACATCGAAGTAGAGAAAGCCTTTAATTGAAACTACATAGTAGAGCTCATCAGTATTTTTGTTGTGTGTTTGTATTTGGCACGCGGCAATTGGTAGAACCAGAGAGGGGGACACTTGGATGAAAACTCCAACGCCAAGATCAAACAGAACCGCGTCCTTGTGTGTGCTCCTTCCAATGCAGCTGTTGACGAACTTATGAAAAAAATTATCATCGAATTCAAAGAAAAATGTAAAGACAAGAGGAATCCTTTGGGTATGATCTTTACTGGGGTTTTTAATCTGTGTTTTCAATGTTTAGTGAGTGTTGGGCAGCTTTGAATGAAGTCGGTCTTAGCCTGGGGCTGTGGCCCTTACGTACCTTTTGATGGATATAGCGGGTATTTTACTGTGCATTTGTCCTGCGCCAGGCACTGTCCCAGACACTGAGTTTCCACAGTGAAGCCTTCAGGGTGACAGAGTGTGGTGAGAAAATGGATGGTTAACGGGCAGCGGTGGTATGGAATTACAGCTTCTGTGATGGGGCTAAACCGTGGGTGTTTGGCGCGCCTCCCAGAGAGGAGCTGTGAGGTAGTCTAGGGAGGGTTTTTGGAGGAAGTGATGTCCAAGAGCAGTTGGGAAGTAGCCGCGTGACAGGACGAAGGAGAAGATTCAAGCCTGAGATGACCATAAGTAGAAAGGAGTGGGCCAAGAGAGCCTCAGGCAGCTCGGTGTGGCGGGCAAGACTCTGGTCCTATCTTCAGCAGGCTGAGTGGTCTGGTCACTGCAGTCCCCAGTCTCCCCGGGCCTGAGTGCTGCCCAGCACTTACCGAGCGCAGAGGCTCAGTGACTAAAGGGCCGGGGGTGGTGCAGGCTGATGAAAGAGGAGGTTTACTTTAGGCGTTGGCTTAGCTATCGCCTGCTCACTGTGGGTGGATAAACCTCAGACCGACCCTGTGAGCTGGTTATTAGATGAGTGCAGAGATGTAGGAGCAGCTGTGTTCAGTGGAAATCCCACAGTAGCGGTAAGCATTACCGGGTGATCCAGGCACCTGAGAGAAGATGTGGAACCGTGCCCGTTTACTTAGCACGCATTCATAGCACTCACTTTGGGTGGTACTGTTCCTGCTGTATATTGTACTGCTTTCCCACATCACACTATGTCCTGTCTTCCCTACAGATTGGGTTTTCCCTGAGGGTACTTGACACTGCCCTTTGCCCATTAGGATTAGATGTGGTTGCAAATAATAAAGATTCTAAATATAGTGGCTTAGAAGTTTCTTTCTCACTGAAAAACCCAAAGGTGGGTAGTTGAGGACTAGTACCAGAGCCCCTGGCCTGTAGAGTCTTTGGAGACTGAGGCTCCTTCTGTACCAGTGTCCAGTGAGGGGACCTCATGGCCAGGAACAGCTGCCACAGCTCCAGTGATCACATGCTTCAAGTGTGAGGAAAGACAATGAATCAACAAAGGGGACCTACTAACCACAGTTTGTAAGGGTGGTTCCTAGGTATCGCCAGTAGCCACTCTGCTTTATTTCCTCTTGGCAGACACTACACGGCAATGCCAGGTACCGGAGAAACACTGAGGGGTCCACATTTTTCCCTCTACTGCACATGTGTGCCTCTGTATAGAACCCATTTACCTTTCTGATCCCCGGTACCATTGTGTTTGCAGGATCAGTGGCTCTACATGTAGTGATAATCATTCACGTGAACAGCTGCAGCTTATCTGCCTGCTATAAGTTCACAGTGTATGCTGTCCATTGGTGGAAATGTAGGTTCTTGTCAGGTTTTTGTTTCAAACTCTATTAAGTGAGGATTTTTATACTTGTGTATATTTATCTAGTACATGTAAAAGTGGTTTCTCCCGTGGATAATTGAATTGTACTCTGCAATAGTGTACACTACACTAAAGGCACAACGTTCGTAACTGAGCCCTTCATACACACGCACCTTTCTAGGGCAGTGCTTTCCACATTGTGGGTTTTGACCACAAGTGGGTGGTAAAGTTGGGTTAGGGCCGCCAGACTGAGTGTACATTAGCTAAAGTAGAAGGGGTCAGGGCAGGTCATGAGGATAAGTACTGTGTAAACTTTGTTTCAGTTGTGAAGTGTGTGGCCGTGTACTATGTTTCACTGAAAACTGTGGCTCATACTATAGGCCAAAGTTTAAGTTTACAAAAACACTGGCCTTCAGCATATGTGTATCCAGAAGTGAAAATATTTCACTTCTTTTCACTGCTTCCAGGTGGTCCTGGGTGTCCTTGAAGGGAAATGTTTTGGGCATCTGTCCATTAAAAAGTATGATGTTTGTTTCTGAATTTCATGTACATCCTTCAGCAGGTAGCGTTCCCTTCTCATTAGGGTTTTTATCATGAATAGATGTTGAATTTCATTGCATTTTTTAAAAAATTTATTGAAGTGATAAGATTTTCTTTGAATGTTAAAATATCTTTTGACATCTAGAATTGAGTCAGCTTGCCATCCATTATTTTTTATTTATTTATTATTTATTTATTTATTTATTTTGTTTTTGGTACCGGGGATCGAACTCGGGTCCTTGTGCTTTTGAGGCAAGCGTTGGAACCACTGAGCTAAATCCCCGGCTCTATTTTTTTATTTTTTTGGTACCGGGGATCGAACTCAGGTCCTTGCGTTTGCGGGGCAGGCGGCGAGACCACTGAGCTAAAAATCCCTGGCCCCATCCATTATTTTTTAACACATTGATTGATTGTTAATGTTTTATTTAGGTCTTGGAAATTAATGTTCCCAAACCAAGCCGGCATATAACTTTTATTTATTATTACGGTATATCTTTGTCTAGTTTGAGTACTGAAGTTATACAGGCTTTAAAAAATGAGGACTTAGGGATGTTCAATCCCCACTGCCACCAAAAAAAAAAAAAAAAAAAAATTAATAATTATTTTCCCGGGCTGGGGATTTAGCTCAGTGGTTTCGTCGCCTGGTATGCAAGCACGAGGACCCGAGTTCGATCCCTGGTACCAAAAAAAAAAAAAAAGAATTATTTTCCCCTTTGGAATGCTTTGTTTAAGAGAGATTGCCTGTTTTGTTATTAGTATTGTTTTATTTTGTATTTTGATAACATGAGTAAGTTTTTATTTAGTGTAATTGATATAAGTCTCTTCAAGTTTTGTCCTGAGAATTTTTCCTAATTTTTTGAGAAAATTTTCTGCTTTAATTTAGGTTTTCATGTATTTTGGGGATGAGGTTGTTCATTGTGTTCTCATTTTTTTAAATCCTTTTTTTTTTTTTTTGGTACCAGGGATTGAACTTGGGACCTTGTACTTGCAAGGCAGGCGGCGGAACCACTGAGCTAAATCCCCAGCCATTTTTTAAAATCTTAACTGTAGTTGTGGTTGGATCCCCTTGTCATTCTTTGTATTAGGTGTTTATTCCCAAGTCCACCTGTGGCATAGACCTGTACTTAGAAAGTCTTAGAGGAAGTTGTTTTTTTCCTCAGCAGAGCCCAGGCCAAGATACTCTTCCTTTGTATTCCTCCACTTCTTCCGTGTCCCTTTGCTTTCTTTTGGGCATTGAAATCCATGCTCCTGTTATAGAAACATGTATATTTTTATTATAATGATAGTTTTGCCAGTTGAGATCTTCGACAGTTTCATAGAATGAAAGACAATCCCCCACCACCACCAGGGATCAGACTCAAGACCTTGAGCACTGAGCTAAATCCCCAGCCCCTAGAATGAAAGATTTTAAACTCTTGAAAGTGGAAATAAGGACTGAAATGTTAATAGATTTTGAGAAATGCGAAGAAAGTGTTCATGTGGGAAGGAGAACAAGGTGGGAGGAGGGAAGAAAGTAAGTAAGGGACATGAATAAAAGTGAAAACAGAAGGAAAAAATGGAAACAAGACCTTTGTACATAGGGAGGGGAGGCGGCTTGAAGAGGGGAATGGGATAAAATAAAATTTATTTTAGAAAAGACTTTAGGGCCAGGGATGTAGCTCAGTGGTTCCGCCACCTGCCTCGCAAGTGCAAGGTCCTGAGTTTGATCCCTGGTACCCCCCCCAAAAAAGATTTTAAACTCACTTTTACCGAATGCAGTTTATACCTCAGTAAGTGTTGGCTTAGAGTGAAGCAGACACTGAAGCAACCCTCATTCACACCCTGCTCCCTCAGGGAGGCTCCAGCAGCTCCAGTGTTCTGGGCCTAGGCCCCAGCTTCACAGGCTCACCCTGCAGCGTGAAGGGTGTCTGTTCTAACAGAGTGGGATTCTGGGGGCCGTGGGTGAGTCTCCAGGTAATCTCCTCTACCCTTCCGGTGGGAACACGAGTGAGCAGAGTAGTTTTGAAACCCCCATGTAAATGATGGCCAGAAAATATGGCCTCATGTTTAAGAGAGTAATTTGAACGAGATCAAAGCTGATGGTGTAGGGGCCGGGATTTAGCTCAGTGGTCCTGCCACCTGCCCCGCAAGCTCAAGGACCTGAGTTCAATCCCCGGCACCAAAAAAATAAATAAGTAAGTAAATAAAGCATTTTTCTTAACCACAGAATACTGTATTTCAAGGATTTTCATGTGTTAGTATGTATTTGAATTTTTTTTTTTTTTTTTGGTACTGGGGATCGAACTTGGGTCCTTGCGTTTGTGAGGCAGGCGGCAGAACCACTAAGCTAAATCCCTGGCCCAAAATGCTTCATTTTAACTCACCATTTTCCAGGTCTGTTTTGGTGGTGAAGTATTACACAGGACATAGTTTGAAAAATATTAGTGTAGTAGAATGTAGCTCTGCAGTGTTTATTTGCCTTTGCCTGGCTTGTATTAGGTGGAAGGACAAGCCTTGGCCCATGAGGTTCTTAGTGCAGAATAACTGATGTGTAAGGCTTTAGTGCTGTTCTTAGTATCTAGTGACAGTAACTCCCTTCTCTGGTTGGTACTATGTTTGCTTAGAAAGAGATAATATAGATGATGGCAGGATTTACGGTAATGTCTTTATTAATCTTCAAGTGTGATTTTTATCAACAGGAAACTGTGGAGATATAAATTTGGTACGACTGGGTCCAGAAAAATCTATCAACAGTGAGGTCCTAAAATTCAGTTTGGACAGCCAAGTGAACCACAGAATGAGTAAGTAATGAATCTGGTACATATCTAGTATGTTTGTGTTTATGATGGGGGAGAGGGTTTGTATTTTAGATGCTAAAGATTGAACCCAGTGTCTTCACTGAGCCCTATACCCCTACCCTTATTTTATCTGTTTGTTTGTATGTATGTATGTATTTATTTTTTGGTACCGCGGATTGAACTCAGGTCCTTGCGCTTGCGCAGCAGTGGCGAAACCACTGAGGTAAATCCTCGGCCCCTATTTATTTATTTTTTGCAGTACTGGGGATTGAACTCAGGACCTTGTGCTTGCTAGGCAGACACAGCGCCACTGAGCTAAATCCCCAGCCCATTATAATTTTAATATTTTAGTTTTAGTTTTAATTTCAGTTTTAGTTTTAATTTGAGGCAGAGTCCTTGCTAAGTTGCCCAGGGTGGTTTTAAACTTACAACCCTCTTACCTCCACCTCACCAAGTGCTGAGACTACAAGTGTGTGCTACCACACCTGGCTCATACTAGTGATTTTTTCTTTGTGCTTTTCTGTAGCAAAAAAATGACTTGGGCATTTGGAAAGGTAATTTGGAAATCCTAGAAGTACTCTATCTTTGAGAACTAGTTTTCCTTCTTACGGTGTTTGCATGTGTGTGTGTTTGCTAGAATTAGTGTGTAATTCTTTATTTTTATTTTTATTAGAAAAAGACTTACCTTCTCATGTTCAGGAGATGCATAGAAGAAAGGAGTTTCTAGATCATCAGCTAGATGAGCTTTCCCGTCAGCGAGCTTTATGCCGAGGTGGAAGAGCAATGCAGGTATCTAAACATTTCTTAACTCCAGATCTTTCAGTAGTTACCCATAGGTACATAAACTAGTTGATAAATATTTGATATCATTTGTTTTGTTTATTGAGGAATGGCCTGATTCATATATGAAAATATATACTAAATGGTGTGCCCTACATCACTGAGTGAACAGACTTTTTGTAAAGGGCAAGAAAGTAAATACTGGGGCCTCTGTAGGCCATATGGTCTGTGTTGTAGCTACTCAATTCTGTTATAGTTCAAAAGCTGTCATAGGTAACGTATAATCAAATGCATGTGACTGTGTTTCAATAAAACTTTATTTATAAAAGCAAATTGTGGGACCGGGGATTTATTTAGCTCAGTGGCACTGCACCTGCCTCGCAAGCACAAGGTTCTGAGTGTGATCCCCGGTACCAAAAAAAAAGCAAATTGTGTTGAATTTGGCCCACAGACCAAATTATATTAAAGCTATACTGAATTTATACAAGTTAAAGAAGTCCAGTTTAGATTTCGTTAAATGAGAAGGGAATTCACTGGTTTATATACTTCAGCTTCAGTAGAGCTAAATCCAGAGACCAAATGATATACTTTCTCCATCGCTTCATTGGTCTTTCTGTGTCATGGATTTCTTCTCCAGGAGAAGACAAGTGCCAGCATTTCTGGGCTCTACCATCCCAGCTTAGAAACCCTGCAGAAGGTGTCTCTCTGAGCGCTACATCAGTTCCAAGGATGCAGTCTCATTAGTCCCCTGGGTAGGCAGGCAGGTCTGGTCCCTACCTGTAAGGGAGTGGACTCCATGATTTTCGAGCCTGAGCTGTGGACTCATCTCTGTAGCTGGAGGCATGCTTGGGTGTGATCGACAGCCTTGTTTGAACCACCCAGAAGTGAGGGCAGGGATGACCTACGGAGGGTGCACTAAGGGTTGGAGTGCTGAGCAGGCAGAGCCTGTGTGCAGCGCAAACACAGAACTGCGTATCCAACAGTAGTGCCAGGAGGGTGTCAGGGCTGCAGGGGTCAGAGAACACAGGCTGGGGTGGCCAGCTCAGCGTTGGGAAGGTACTGTTAGACTCTTGAAATGTGACGCAGTACACTGGGAAGCATTATAATTTGCTTACTTGAGTTTTAATAATAGCATTGCAATTTTTTCCAGAGGCAAGAATTAGATGAAAAAATTGCTAAAGTTTCCAAAGAAAGGCAAGAACTTGCTTCTAAAATTAAAGAGGTAAGCAGTTCATCTGTAGCATTAGTTTGGTTTTTATTTCTTAATATATAAAGTAGTTATATAACCTATGGGCTTTGCTCAGTTATGTTTTCTAAAATGTTTATTATGAAAAATTAGAAATGCCTACAAAAGTGGAAAAGTGGTATAACAACATTTACTTTTCTGTGAACCTAAGAATTCTTATCACCATCTTTGTTTTCTAAGAAAAAAAGTGATTCTAAATTTTTTTCTCCTTGTATATAGGTCTGGTGACTATGAAAAATTTCTCTTAGTGTGCTCTGCTTTTTTTCCCACTTACTGCACAAAACACTATCAGATGACTGACTAGTCGGCCAGGACTAGGACTGTAGGTGTTCTCCCTACTAAGAATGAAAAAAGGCTGAGGATTTAGCTCAGTGGTGCCACTGCCTGCCCCAAAAGCACAAGGACCCAAGTTCAATCCCCGGTACCAAAAAAAAGGGAAGAAAACCAGTGGGGGAGTTTTAGGAAGCAGCTGTGGGCCCTCCAGTGCTCCAGTCTAGATGTAAGCAGAGCAACGGTACAGGTCATGGCCTGAGAAAGTACGGCCTTTGATGGGGGAGGCAGCCCAGATAATGGGGATTGAACCCTGGGAGTCCTGAGCTCCATCCCCAGCCCCTTTAAATTTTGAGACACTCTTGCTAAGTTGCCCAGACTGGCCTCAAACTTTTGATGCTTCTGCCTGAGCCTCCCAGGTAGCTGGGATTACAGATGTGTGCCACTATACCCAGCTCAGAGGCATTGTTTTCCCCCAAAATATTTCTTACTCTGTGGTGGGTTGACTTCACATAGAGATATGAAATCCACAGATGCAGAGAGCTGACTACATAGCTGTTCCCCAGTATTCTTTAAGGTAAACATATCAAATAAGAAGTAGACTAATTGCGGCTAGGCTGAGCCAGTTCTGTCCCGATCATCAACATGAAGCCCTAATGAAATCAAATAGGTCCAAGGGGAGAGAAGCAGCAGTTGATGATGTTAGGGTTTTTGAGCTGAGATATAGTTGAATTTAAAACATCTTTTCATTCAGTTTATTTACATTAAACATCATGTGAAAACTTTATATTAAGATTTAAACTGAGCCCAGAATTAATCTCCCCAAATTTGGGGAGGAGGTCTGTTGTTCACAAGTGTTGTTTGTGCCGCTCGAAATGTGTTTTGTGCGTCACTGAATTAATTGTGCTTGGCAGCTTCCCATGAGGCAGGCTGGGAAGAGACGGTGCCACCGCACTTTCACTGTGTGCTGAATGCCACCATGGCCACCTCAGTGCAGCTCACACACGTGGGGGAGCCCCTGGTTACACAACACGGGTGCAGCCATTTAGCACTGCTACTTCTCAGTGGCAGAAATTCAGGCAGACTGAATCTCTGATCAGTCCCAGTTTATTAATTTGAGTACCAAGTGAATTTAGCATGCATTGTAAAGTGTTACTCACATTGGTTTCATCTTAGTACATTGCATTCTAGAAGTGGACCACAGTTGTTTTTCATCTGTGGAATAAAATATTTTTTAGTACACAGGAAATTGTGTGTGTGTGTGTATTTGAAACAGGGTCTCAATCTGTAGCCCTGGCTGACCTGGACTCACAGCAATCCTCCTGCCTCAGCCTCCCAAGTGCTGGGATTATAGGTGTGCACTACCATGCCTGGCTACACAGGAATTGTTATTGGTGTTTGTTTTTATAAAACAAAGAACAATAGGGCTGGGGACTTAGTGGTTTCACCACCTGCTGCACAAGCTCAAGGACCCAAGTTCGATCCCCGGTACACCCCGCCCCCCCCAAAAAACAAAGAACAATATTACATTATATATGTGTACATTCAAGTTTAGCTCTATGCCTGGTCTCCAATAATTGCTTCACTTTAGTGCAATTATTTAATCTCTCCTTACTCATACTTGCCTGTACACATCTGCCTTTGAGAAGGATTGTTGTCTACTTTGACCACATCAAACCCTGAATAGTTTTTTAAATATGCTTACGTAGTGTTCTAAGCTTAGCCTACAGGCTACTGTGCTGTTTTCGATAGTTGCTGATTACCTTGAATTTTTTTTGTCTTCTGGATATGCTGTTTACTCCTAACCTTCATGTAATTTATTTTTGTCACATAATAGATGGTGGTGGTTTTATATAAGAAGCTTGTCATAGGTAAGAATTCATGTGCAGCTGAATATGATTAAGCTCTCCTTGCTCCCTTAGGTGCAGGGGCGCCCACAGAAGGCCCAGAGTACCGTGATTTTAGAGTCCCATATCATCTGCTGCACGCTGAGCACCAGTGGTGGTTTGCTGCTCGAGTCTGCTTTTCGGGGCCAGGGAGGTGTCCCCTTCAGTTGTGTCATTGTCGATGAGGTCAGTAGCATCGGCTGAACAATTTTGAACAGTGCTGTGAAAAGCCGTAGGTGAACTGTGGGTGCCAAAGGGTTGATGAAAGTGATTTTAACATCTGATGTTTACCTGCCATTGCCCCCCTTGATTGAAATTGCTTTTCCAGTATTGGGATTACAGTTTTAAAGATGCCTAGTTGTTTCCAACAGTTCCATGCTGAGGGATTAGTGAGCTCCTCCTTGAAATACTTTTGAAGTACTTGTGTATAAGCTATGCGCATCCTTGATGTGCTTAAGTCATCTCTAGATTACTTAGTTATAGACTGTAATCACTTGTAGCTCTGGACAGCTTTAAGCGAGTGCGTCCTGCTAGTATTGGTTGCTCCTCCATAGTTCACTGAGTACACCTTTATTGGTTACTTACTGTTTGCCAGAATGAAAGGTCAGATGCAGAAGAGATGGGACATTAGACACAGAGAATCAGTGTAGGAGACACAAAATCTAATACTCAGGCCCTGTAGATACTTACAGTAAAAAATAAATGTGAAGCCAATATTCACCAAAATAAAAGAACAAGAAAAACAAGTGATGAGAAGTAATTAAAATGTCACTGAATTAAAGAGAAACTTGACGCCTGCTGCGCAAGCGCAAGGACCTGAGTTCTATCCCCGGTACCAAAAAAAAAAAGAGAAACTTGAATCTGGTGATTGAAAAGGCCTACTGAGAAGGAAGAACAAAAGATGGGGAGAAACACAGACACTCCTTGTGTGATAGCTGAGCTCCAGAGATAGTTTCTAAAAGGACTTCAGAGGTGAAAGAGTTCTCAGCACTGTGCCCAGCAGGAGCCATAGCCACAGGCCTAGGCCTGGGATGCACGCCACCTCCTCACTGGGGCTGCTCCCATCCGAGTGGCATCTGTGGTGGCTGATTTCAAAACACAGGTTGAATTTTTTTTTTTCCTAAATTGTGTTTTGAGAGTTTGTTTTGTTGTTCTCATTGCATGCTTTTGTTTTTTAATGAAAAAAAAATCACACTTTTGTTTTAAAATGTGGTACTTTCTGATAGTTAGAACTTAGTGACTAGTTAAGTTGTGTATGGATCCTAGAGTCTCAGAGATCGTTGAGACGGTTTTGCCCTCTGTGCTCTACTCCCAAGGCCGGGCAGTCCTGTGAAGTTGAGACCCTGACCCCTCTCATCCACCGCTGCAACAAGCTCATCCTAGTAGGAGACCCTAAGCAGCTGCCCCCCACAGTCATTTCCATGGTGAGTTACCTTCGTGGTGAGCTTGAAGGGGCAGTTTCTGTTTTTCAGAGGGTGGCTCTTTTTTGCATCGTCATCTTTAATTTGGAGGGAAAAGTAGGGAACAACTGAGAAAAGAGAAGCACTGTTTGAGTTTTAATAAGTAAAAATGGTTGCAAGTGCCCCTTGGTTCATGTTGTGCTTCTGTGTGTGCATGTGTGGAGGAGCCGTGAGCTCTGGAGACAGGAAGCCCACTCTTACATAATGGCATCCACTGCCTGGGCTTTCCCCAAGGGGACCCCATGTGCATGGCACAAAAGCAAGAAAAGAATCTGAACCTGCTAGTTTATATTTAAATATGCACAATTTGATGATGATAGCATAAAGAGGTTATTTTGGAGTACATTTCCAGTTTGGAATTCTCTTTCCTATGGGACAACAAAATGTGCCCCATGCATCATTTGAAGTGAGGGTTACAGGAAAAGGGAGGGAACTAATTGAAAACGCAGCCTCAGCTGAGCACCCAGACTGTGGTCCAGGCTGCCTGTTGTTCAGTCGCATTAAACGTGTCTGCTAGTAATGCACGTGAGCCTCAGGATCCAGTAGCTGTGTGGGGTAATCTGAATAAGCCTAGGGTGTGGTTTTGCAATGTAATAAAATGGATTTTACTAATACATCTTTTTTCTTGTCTGCAGTCCTGATGGTTGGACCCAAGGCCCTACACATGATAGGCAAGCAGTTTGCCACTGAGCTACATCTTTACCCCTTTTATTTTTTATTTATTATTATTATTTTCTTTTTTTGGTACCAGGGAATGAACTCAGGACTTTCCGCTTGCAAGGCAGGTGGTGGAACCACTGAGCTAAATCCCCGGCCCTATTATTTATTTATTTATTTATTTAATTTATTTATTTATTTATTTTTGGTACCAGGGAACGAACCCAGGACCTTCCAGTTTCAAGGCAGGTGCCGGAACCACTGAGCTAAACCCCCGCTCTATTTTTTGTTTTTGAGACAGGGTGTCTTGCTTAGTTGCCTAGGCTGGTCTAAAACTTGTGATCCTCCTGCCTCAGCCTCTCAGAGTGCTGGGATTACAGATGTGTGTCCCACATCCAGCTGTAATATGTAATTTATACAGTCTTGCCCTTATAATCCCAGAGTACAGATCATTTTCAAAGCATTTCTTCTCAGTTGTGGAATGAGTGCGTATGGTTTTTGTTGCTGTGGTTTTTGACCCAGGAATTGCTCAGAAGGAGAGCATAGTTCCATGTACAGTGTCTGTGCACAGGTGCATGACCAGGCCAGGAAGCAGCCCAGGGGCACACCCCTTGTTGAGGGAAAGCCCTGTCTATAGCAAGGGCAGCTGCCACAGTTCTTCCAGTAGGTTAGTACTTCAGTGGCTTACCAGCGTGGAGTGAGAGGGATTGTTAAGGAGCCTCAACTGCAGAGCCTCCTTTGGTGCTTGATAAAAACAGCAGAAATGGCTGGGGATGTAGTTCAGTGGTTCCGCCACCCGCCCCACAAGCACAAGGTCCTGAGTTTGATCCCTGGTACCCAGAAAAACAGCAAAAGTGACAAAAATCCCTCCATTTGGGCTTTTTTGTTTTGTTTTGTTTTGTTTTGTTTTGTTTTGTTTTGTTTTTGGTACCAGGGATTGAACTCCGGTCCTTGTGCTTGCGCAGCAGGCGGCGAAACCACTGAGCTAAATCCCCGGCCCCATTTGGGCTTTTTTGTTACTGCATAAAGAAAACAGGCATATTGAAACAAATTGAAAAAATAATTACAGAGTTCATTTCTACAACATGCCTTTCTCACTGTCTATTTCTAAAGATAATTAATGTGAAAAGTGTATTTTAATAGGTTTTGCTGGGCATTTGTGCGTGCACTTACTCATTTTTTCCAGCATGTATTTATTGAATACCAACATAATTGGGGCACTCTTTTAGATACTGGGGTTATGATATGAAGAAAACAGAAAATCCCTGTCCTTGCATAGCTTATGACTTAGTGGATAAGAGACATAGTAAGTTACTATGACATACAGGGATTATGAGCTTTGTATACATGTATATATGTATATGTTTGAAGATGGTGGAATCATTTATGCAAAATTGCCTTTTTATAAATCAGTAAATTGGTCAGAAATAACATTTCATGTCAGAATATGTATATATAAATCTGTCTCATTGTGTAGGGTGAACTCAGTTCTTTTCTAGAAGTAGATGTGTAATCTTATATAAGTCTTTTCTCTGTTTTCCCAAAGAAAAGACACAGAATTGGGTCTGGGGCTAACTGTAATAAACTTTTGAAGATGTAGATGAAATTGTGAAATATCAGTTAATATTTTATTTAATTAGACAAATCTATTAAAATTACAGGTGTAAATAATTAAGAAGTACTGCCTGTGAACAGGCTTGTTTCATATGCACCTTTGAAGCCAGTGTCTTCTTCAGCCTCCCTCATAAAGATAGTCTTGCGTTGTGCCGTCTTCAGAGCACATTTTCACGTGTGCGGCAGCTCCATGTGGTGCTGTCATTGAAGAGCACTGTCCAAGACACCGTGATAATATCGAGACAGTTTTCTGTGTTGGTCATTTAAGTCGCTGGTTTTCGCACTGCAGGCTATAGCTCATTACTTGGTTTGTGAAATCATTTTAGTGCCATCATTTCAGTTTCTAGCCTGTGTCTTTCACTAGAGTATTAATTCTGTGAGACTTGATCTTGTTTAACTTGGCAGTTGCAGTACTCCAGATTAAGTACACACCAGATGGGTGGATGAAGAAATAGATCCTCAAAGACTTGTTTACAGTGGCATTTAATATCTCTCCTCGTGAGAGTATGTGCCAGAAGTAATTGTTAAGACCTGTGAAAAATCTCTTTGCTTCTTTTATTATCGACTCTTTCAGTGATAACATAGATTTGATTGTGGTCATTCATAAGATCATGTCTCTGTCATAAGCAGTGTGTGAATGTTCCAAATTTACACGATATTCAAGTCACGCAGCTCTTTCCAGAAGCTGTCCTTTCTCTGGATCTGGCTGCTGGTGATCTTATGCCACCAGAACCTTGCCCTGGATGCTAGGAAGTTAGGGCTTACTAATTGTTTTTGTAATAGTAAGAAGGTTTGTGCAAACGGCCGGGGATGATGGCTGTGTCTGCCCCAACAGAAGGCCCAGGAGTACGGCTATGACCAGTCGATGATGGCACGCTTCTGCAGACTGCTGGAGGAGAGAGTGGAGCAGAACACGATCGGCAGGCTGCCCGTGCTGCAGCTCACTGTGCAGTACAGGATGCACCCGGACATCTGCCTCTTCCCGTCCAATTACATTTATAACAGAAGTTTGAAAACACATCGGTAGGTTCCCTTCATGACTGGTCAGCTTACTTCATTTATACTTTTCCCTGCTTAGGAAGAGTTGCCCTTGTATTGTGTTCTTAAGTCTTGTCACATAAAGTTGTAACAGTGTTGGCTGGATCAGATGCAGATAAGCAGAAAGGGAGAAGTCACCCATATTTATCCTGTCCAGAAATAGTCATTGGCGAACCTGTTTCCAGTCTTCTGTGATGATGTTGCTCTTCTTGGTGCTGAGGGCTAAACCCAGGGCTTCATGCTGCACAGGGGATGTGCCGCTGCCCCACCCCAGTCCTTTCATCTGTATCTTTTTTGGGGGGTGGGTACTGGGGATCAAACTTGGGACCTTGTCTTTGCGAGGCATCTGTATCTTTTATTCATTCTCTTTTGGTTTTTCTATGGGTTTTTCTTTGTTTTTTGTTTTATATAGGGTCTCGCTATTAGTTTAGGCTGGCCTTGAATTATATAGCCCAGGCTGCCCTCAAACTTGTGCCAATCCTCCTGCCTCAGCCTCGAGAGTGCTGGGATTAAAGGCATGCATCACCATGCCCGGTACTTTCATTGTCCTTTTAAAATTTTTAAAAAATTGGACTATGTGGGCTGGGGATTTAGCTCAGTGGTTCCGATACCTACCTTGGAAGTGCAAGGATCGATCCCTGGTACAGAAAAAAAAAAAAAAAAAAAAATTGGACTATGCACAGTGTTGTGTGGCTTGCTTTTTTCCATTGACAGTATTTTGAGTAATTTCCAATCATAATTGTTAGCACTTTCCTTAGCACTAGAAGAGAAATACAATCCGTTTTGGCCTTTTGTTGGTACACATCTGTAAAAGATCTTTTGTCCCCTTACTGGCCCTAGCCCCTCCCCACACAGAACAAAACAATGCATCATCTGTCCTGTGCCTTGGATTCTGAAGGTGGCTGCTGTCTTACAGGTTTACTGAATCTGTTCGATGTTCATCAGACTGGCCCTTTCAGCCTTACCTTGTGTTTGATGTCGGAGACGGTTCAGAAAGACGGGATAATGAGTATGTTCTCCTCTGTATTTCCCAGTGGTGGTCTCAGAATTGTCACATTATTTTTGTTTTGATTTGTGTTAAAAACATTTGCTATATACATCTGTCTGCTTAGTGCCAGGGCATGGCAATTTTCACCAGCCATTCTGACAGCTTCCCCTCCGTCTGTGTAATGCAGTAACTGCAAGTGTTAGGCAAGCGCATGAGTAGACACATGCAAAGATGGCAGTGGTGAGTGGAGCAGGCGCCGTCCCATTGCGAGGGAACTGGTCTCAGGGGAGACGGCAGTAGCCAGGTCATCAGCTGGAAGTAACTAGGTCAGTCTGGGCAGAAGTGTAGATCGGGTGTTAAGGTGAGAGTGGGAGGAGTCGAGACAAAGATGGGACAGTGCTTAGGGTTTGGGGTATGGATGAGGGGACGTGTTGGGGCTGGCTGTAAGTGACAGCACCAAGGAGCACTGATGTAGCTAGGTAGCAGAGACATGGGAGGAGCCAGAGAGCTGCTGAGAGAGAGAGGAGAGGAGACAGCCCAGGCGCCATTGCCCCCTCTCTCATGGAGCGGAGCGAGAGGAAGGCCCAGTTCACTGCCCTGTCTCAGAGGACTGCGAGCAGAGCAGGTGGTGTCGGGGCAGAAGCAGGGATGGAGAGAAAGGCTCGGAGGAGGAGGAGCCCCACTCACAGCGCATCTGTCCCCCAGCACTCTGGGGGCTGAGGGAGGAGGCTCACTAGTTGGAGCCCTCACCCTGTCTCACAATAAAAAGAAAGGGCTGACGATGTAGCTCGGTGCAAAGGCCCTGGACTCATTCCTCAATTCTGAAAAAAACAAAAACACACAGGAGGAGATGGCTGGCTGACGCAACCGGCAGGATTGAGAGGTCGGTGTAAGCCGGAGTGTGGAACAGAGGGGCTTCACCCAGAAACAGCCGGGGCGCTGAAGGTTGAGGGAGGGAGCAGGCAGCCCATGGACTGGGTCGTCTGGAGAGCTAGTGAGACAGACAGACATCTTGGGAACACCGTGCAGGGACAGCGCATCCCCTGGATCCCCTGGTGTGCTCGGGCTTACGGGGGAACATGCGCCTGGGGGTGGCTCGGGTCGGGGGTGTGCGTAGGAGTGGTGCGGGGCCCCTGGCACTCAGCTCCGTGCACCTTGGTGGCCTATGTGGGTGGCGTCCCCTCCGCCACGGGGTGTTGTGTGGCTTGTGTCCCCAGGGGTGGGGATTAAGGGAGATGATGTATCTGACATTCTTCCTCAGTCCGTAGACCATAGCGTGTTAGTGCTCGATTCGTATTTGCATTATTGTAAGTCTTGTTGCTGTTAGTGTGACTGTCACTGTGGTAGCAGTGACAGAAAGTGGTGCTTAAGTGCCAGTTGACTCCAAACTTTCCTCTCTATGGCTTCATGTTGCATTTACTGCTCTGTGTGATGGTAGTGGTCATTATAACATCTGCGAGCATTACTGGGCGAGTAAGAGATGAAACCCGTCTGCCTGCCCCTTACTCTCATGGGAAGTAAGTTAACTGGTACCTGTTAGTAGTTAGACTGCTGTGAGTCTTGACATGTTTTTTTTTTTACTCCCATCTTGTTTAGCTCATATGTAAATGGTCAAGAAATAAAATTGGTGATGGAAATAATTAAACTGATTAAAGAAAAAAAGAGAGAGATTAATTTCCGAAACATTGGCATAATAACTCATTACAAGGCTCAGAAGATAATGATTCAGAAGGATTTGGACAAAGAGTTTGACAGGAAAGGGTAAGGTATTTTCACATATATTTCTAGTTTTTCTGTTGAATTAGAAGCTAGAGGGAAAGGAAACTGAGCTCAAGGCAGTGGTCTCAGACCACAGAAAGGGGCGACACGACACAAGGCAGCTGGGACTCCAGCTTGAGTGGACTTGACTGGACGCGTGTGGGTGGGGCCAGGGCCCGGGCCAGCGAGCTGCCTCCAGGCGGGCGTCTGGAGGTCAGCCCTGTGCGGGCAGCAGTGCTGCTGAGAATGCCCGGCTGCTCTCCCCTCAGCTCTGGGACTTGCTGACCTGAGTTGTAATTATACCAAGACCAGCGAAGTCACTTGGAATAAATTGTGTAACACTTCTACTGTCTTTAGGTTTAGAGTGTAGCTTGTTTTTGTCTTCTTACCTCTGCAGTAAAGTTAACAATACAGATTAGAAATCTATTTCCTCCAAGTTTCTTAACCCAAAACACACAGACAACCAGAATTAACTCTACAAAGACCAGAAAGTCTGAGCAGACCTGTGTACCAAGTAGAGAGAGAGGATTAGTGTTCGAACCTTGCGGGAATGAAAAGCCCAAGACTGACCTCACTGGTTTATTCTCCCAAATGCTACAACAAGAAGTAGCACTAGTTCTTCTCAGGCTCTTCCAAAAAAGTAGAACCCCCCCCCCACTTCGTTTTAGTAAATGTTTTCGATACTTAGTGATTACATTCAGCTTTGGTATTGAAACATACAAGTCTCTTCTTCATCGTTACTCCCCCTGGGCCACATACTTTGTAACTCATTCTAAGAGGATAATATTTACCCACCTGCCAGAGCCAGGGAAAGAGATTACCAGAAAACTGCCAGCTGCATAATTTATTCCATATGCAAATGTCCTAAACCAAAAAGTAGTAGACCTAATTTAGCAGTATAGCAAAAGGATTACTTGCCAGGCGGGTGCAGTGCCACTGAGCTACATCCCTGGCTGTCAAACAAGTGAGATTTATCCCAGGGAAGCAAAGTTGGGTCAACATAGGAAAATCAGTGTGTGGCCCCGGATTAATAAGAGTATGGCAGGGCGGGGGACCCTGCATAATCATCTGGTTAGATGCAGAAAAGCCAGCTGATAGAATCCAGTGCCCTTTCTTGGTTAAAAATGCTGAACAAAATGGGAATACAGAGGAGATTTCTTAACCTAATAAAAGGCGTTCATGAAAGCCTCACAGCTAACGTCATTCTTAATAGGAGTACAGAAGCCTTTGCTCTCAGATTGTGTGGGATGTTTGCTCTCGCTGCTTCTGTTCCACATTAACTAGAGGGGCAGCCAGAGCCGTTAAGCAAGAAAAGGAATTAAAGGGAAGAGGTAAAACACTGTCTTCATAGATGGCATCATCTTACAGAAGCCCTGACAAAGCCACATGAAGGAAATATTCGTGCTGATAAACAGGCTTACTGGTAGAGTTCAGGATACGAGGTCAGTGTATTAAACATCTGCTGTTATCTGTACACCAGCAGTGAACAATCTGAAACAGAAAGACAGTTCATTTACAGTAGCATCCAAAAGAATAAAGTACTTAGAAATAAACACAGCCAGAGAAGTGTAAAGCTTACACATTGACGTCTGTGAGGCGTGGTGGTCAGAAACTGAGAAACCCTGAGTAGGAGAGGCCGCTGTGAAGACAGCAGTGCGCCCCACAGCAGTCGGTGGTGCAGGGCTAGGACAGCAGCATGAGGGGAGTCTGCATGGCTTCAGATGAAGTGGCAGTTTCTTAGGGGTGACCCCAAGGGGGAAGATGTGCGCACTGGACTGTATAAAAGTTAAAGAGTTGTGTCAAAGGGCACTGTCAAAAGAGTAGAAAGGACGGGATGTAGGTGAGTGGTAGAGCACTTACGTGGGGCACATGAGGCCCTGGGTTCTGTCCCCCAACGCTGCAGAAGTAAAGAAAAGGGAGGGAAACAACCGGCAAAATGAAAGAAAATACTTACAAATCATGTATCTGATAAGATTCTCCTATCTAGAATACATAAAGAACTCTTACAACTCAATTTTAAGAATGGGCAAGAAATTTGAATAAATAGTTTTCAGGAGAAGATATACAAGGGCCGGGGATGTTGCCCAGTGGCACCATGCCTGTGTGACAAGTGCAGTGCAAGGCCCTGATTCGAGGCTTGGTGTGGGGTGGGGGTACAAATGGCCAGTAAACACTCGAAAAGATGTTCAGTGGCGTTTGTCATTAGGGAAGTGAAAATCAAGCACAATATGCCACTTCACATCCACCGAGATGGTTATAATTAAAGGTAGCAAGCAGGGAAGATGTGGAAAAATTGGAACCCTTACACACATGCATTGCGGATGAGGAGATAAAGTGGCAAATTGCTACAGAAAACACTGTGGTAATTCCTCAAAATATTCAATGTAGAATTACCATCCGACCCAGCAGTTTCACTGTAGGTATATATCCTAAAGAATTGAAAAAAATGTCCACACAGAAACTTTGACATGAATACTCTTAGCAACGTAGTAGCCATACACTGGAAATAAACCCAAGTGTCTGTTTATTATAAATAGCTAAATTGTGGTATGTCTACATGAAATACTAGTCAGAAAAGAAATACTGTTACCTGCCACCCCGTGGGTGTGTTAGTCTAAGGGAAAAGAGCCAGTCTCAGAGGAGCACATTGTATGGTTTCCATTTGTCTAACATTTTCGGTATAAGAGACTCTAGAGAGATGGAATATGGACTAGTGATTGCCCAGGCAGAAGGGAGAGGGCAGATTGCCGCTAAGGCTATGATACCATGAGAAAGGTTTAAAAATACCGCTGCCATATAAAAGAAAGTATGTTTACCACTTATTTTATTTTCTGAAGTCTCTCTGTCTCTCTATGTACATAGACCAGCAGAGGTGGACACCGTGGATGCCTTCCAGGGCCGCCAGAAGGACTGCATCATTGTCACCTGTGTCCGAGCAAATGCCATGCAGGGCTCCATCGGGTGAGGTGCTGACCCTGCTGCTGCTCCCTTGCTTATAATCCGAAATTAGGCCCATCGTCCTAATGTCTCGGTCATTTATTAACTTCCTTTTGTAAAACTTGTGCAGCACGATGAAGGTTTCTTTAAAGTTGTGAAGTAGATCCATTGTTAGGTCTGCCTTTTCATTAACGCATCTCCTGTCTTCTTATTTAACAAGAGTGAAAGTCATGGGATGAAGTGTATTTTGCCGGGGCACTGATTCTCCCAGTGTTGTGTGTCCTGAAGTGGCTTCCTCCCGCTGTCTCTGCACTGTGGCTTGGTCTGTCCTCGCTGCTCTCAGTTTGCTCATAGAAGATGCCAAGGGTCCCCTGAGTCTCCAGGCCCAGACTTTTAATGTGGCGATTTGTCCTCTCTCAGGAGACCCAGATAGGATTGATAGGTTGTAAGTTTAATTATTCTCTTTTTTAGGCAAATTTTATTTGTATTTAAAAACAATATTTTAATATAATACAAGTAGATATTAAAGAAAATATTTTTAAAAGTCTTCTTACATCTATGAAAAAATATAAACCAAAATTTCATTACAAATTAATTGAAGAATAACAATAGTTAATATACCTTATACCATGATTTTAAAAGAATGGCCAAAAGTTAGAGTACAAGTCATAGACAAAAAGACTTACAAAAAAGAAACAAATAGATAGTAGCAAAAAACTTTTCTTTTCAATGAATCTAGCTGTATAAATAAAACAAATTAGTATATATATTGAAATTTTAAAAATATTTCACGGAATATATAATTTGGGAAATTATTAGGACTTCTCCCTACTTTATTTTCTATCTTCTTTTTTTCATGTTTTCTTTAACATTTAATAGAAACTATATACAAAAATTTTTATTGTATTTTACACAGAGCCACAGAAATTTCCATAGATCAGAAGGAGGATAGACAGTGAAGGAGGGTCCAGGCCTGTGGATATTTTCTCAGAGCATGAAAGTCAGAGTTCAGTTGGGGAAAAGGGCTCAGACTGCCAGATTACCTGGATGTTAAAAAAAAGCAAAAATGCAGGCCACCAATATTTCAAAGGCACCATTTTAAAGGGAGGCCGCATCTAGTCATGTATGTGGATTCTTGCCTGTGACTTAGGAAATGCCACTCCAAAGATGTCTTTCCCATTAAGCCGATTCAGTCCTAGACATAATAATTATTCTTAAAGAAAATAGCAGGGCCGGGATTTACCTCAGTGATTCCGGAGCCTGCCTCACAAGTGCAAGGTCCCAAGTTTGATCCCCAGTACCAAAAAAAAAAAAAGAAAGAAAATAGCAGTTGAAGTGTGCTCTTCCTCCATCCCTGGTGTGGCCTGGCTGCATACACATACAGAGATTCTCACCAGATCACTTGATAAACAGTCCCACCTAATTTGAAGTTTTTACCTTTATCATAGACCCATTGTGTTTCTGATCTACTGATAGGTTTGTCTTATGTTTGAATATTTCTGCTCTGTGTCAATGATTTTTTTTTTCCCCTTGGTACTGGGGCTGGAACTCAGGACTTTCCTCTTGCCAGGCAGGCGGAGCACTGCTGAGCTAAATCCCCAGCCCTGTCCATGATATTTTAACATTCCAGATATATTTTAAAATAATTGAACTGGTATGTAGTTAAGATTTATAAATACTCTTAAATTTTCTAGTATCTGATCCATGTCAAAATAGGAAATGAAGGAATGTGACACTGGAGTAAAGCATGAGGGATTTGCTTCTGCGCCAGGAGCCTGGGTGGGGCAGAGTGAGAAGCCACTGCGCCTGCGGGATGGGACGTGAGGGAGCCCTGGAGAAGCAGCACTGGAGAAGTGGCTCGGCTGCTGCCTGCGCTGTGCTGGGGCATGGGGTGTGGTCGGGTCTGTTGGGGAGAAGTGACGCTCTTTCTGTTGCTAGGTTCCTGGCCAGCTTGCAGAGGTTGAACGTCACCATTACACGCGCCAAGTACAGCCTCTTCATCCTCGGGCATCTGAGGACCCTGATGGTAGGTGGCTTCTTGGGGCCGCAGGAAACTCATTTTTGCCCCTGGCTACTGTTACTGGATTGGGTTTTGTTTTTGTTTTCCATCAAAGTTGAAGTGGTTTTGGGGTTTTAAAGTAAGTCGTATCCTCCAGCAACTTTGTAGGGGGAGCTTTTGTGTACATGTGAAGCGGCTCGCTTTCTCAGCCTGAAGCCCAGGTATCTACCCCGGGTTCTCAGCATGACCTTTTTAAAACATGATCTGTGTCATAAGGTTATTTAAAAACGTCTGGGAGGGCCGGGAGTTTAGCTCAGTGGATCCGGCGCCTGCCTTGAAAGCACAGGGTCCTGAGTTCCATCTCCAGTACTGCAAAAAGAACAAAACAAAGAACTGTATGAGGCCACACATGTGAACTGCTTAGAACAGCTGGACTGATGTCGCCTTACTGGTCCCGTCTAATGCCAGAGAGCAAGGGCGGGAGCCGCTCTGATTCGCGCTTCCCCTCGGTCTGCACCTGCGTCGCGGCTGTGCTCGGCAACGGGCAGACAGGGCTGCTGATGTCAGTGCTGCCACAGCTGGCTGCAGCACCTGCTGCAGTCTTGTCTGTCTCGGGGTGTAATAGCTTCTGGGGGTTTAAGGGGTTATTTATTGGGCATTGGAGGAGAGGAGCTGACTCAGCACTTGTCCCCCCACCACCACCTTGGTACCAGCAGGGGGCCGTGCAGACACACCTGTGCCAGTAAGTCCCCTCTGCTCCATCCACATACCCATGGGCTTAATCACACAGAGGTGGTTTGGGCTCCTCTTAAAAGAAGTTATAATCTCTGTACTAGATTTTTTTCTTTGGTACTGAGGATCGAACTCGGGTCCTTGCGCTTACACAGCAGGCGGCGAAACCATGAGCTAAATCCCCTGCCCTATAATCTCACATTATGCTGTTTGGCCATAAAAATTCATATGTACATTGAGAGTTTAAAAGTCATTTTTCGTAGGGGAGACTGATGCAGCCTTTCTTTGCAACTTTCTGTGAATCTGTATCTCAAAGGATTTTTAAAATTATTTTTCCCGTAACTATAAGGTTCTGAGTGTTAAATGACTTTTCAGTTGAATAACCTGTTAAAATTGCTACTGTACGTCTGAGCAAAACAGTGTGAATGTATGGCAGGCTGTGATGCTGTAAACTTGCAGAGGTGAACACTGCGGGAACAGCCTCCTCCTGATGCCTTTGTGGACTTCACTGTTGTTGGCAGCCCCATGTGTTATGCGTCTGCAGAGCCCCCAGGATGAGACTTGGAATGTAGGAGATTTCTCCAACTCCAAGGATGGGGTGGAGGAGGCGGGACAGCCCGCCAGGGCAAGGGTGGCTGGAATTTGGAAGTTGACTGCAGCGTTGGCAGAGCTCTGACCTGGGTTGATGACGGTGTTGTCGGCCCTGCTGGGTGGTGGTGGTGGGGGGGGTTGGACAGGGCTGCTGGTGGGGCATTTGGTCCTCGCAGGGACAGCACAAGGCTACAGCAGAAACCCCAGCTGAGCAACTTCTTTGGTTCTGGGTTTTCTTTTCTTCCGGATTCCTTAGCTCCTTGTGAAAATTCTCTGCTGTTGTGACCTTAGGGTCAGGTTAAACGCCAAGTTCAGGTGTAGTAGACTTAGCAGAAACAGCAAGGCTGTCTCCCTCGCACCTGTGTCTGCCACAGGCAGAGATCTCTGGGGCCTCTGAGTATTCCAGTTTTACCAGTGAGAAAGCAGGTTCAGAGAGGTCAGGTGATGATCGACATCACACAGCGAGGGACTATCATGAAGCCCCACTGTCCCCCACCCACCTTTACGGATAGTGCAGGAGCCTGCATGAGGGCAGTTGTCCACTTCTTTTTCCTTCCATCCTCCCCCCCAACCCCGCTCATTCTTTGTCTTCCTAAAGAGACCCAAGTGGTAGCGGTTGTAAAGCAGCAGTTAACTGCTGGGCAGACTCTGAAGGGAAAAGAGGAGAGGCGCTTTGGGTGTTTTCCCCCCTGAATGTGCTGTTCATTTCTTAAGCACCTCTGGGAAAGAATCAAAGTGGGGTGATCTCGTTGGTGTGCTGTTTCAGTGGGTTAGGGGCTCGGGTGCTTCACAGTCAGCCTCTGAAGCTGTGCCTTCCCGCTGAGGCTGACAGGGTGGGCAGCGCCCCGACCGGCACGTGCAGGGCCAGTTGGGCACTTGGAATGGGGCTGGCAAGGCTGGGGAACTGCATTTTAAATTTTATTGAATTTTAATGAATGGAAACTTAAGTAGACGGGAAGCGTTTGGCAGCTAGTGCAAATCTGCGGGGCAGCTTATTCCCAGGTGACAGAGTCAGAGTGCCAACTGGCCGCCTCCTCACGGCCCTGACTAGTACTGGTGCTTAGTCACACGGCTCTGTCACTCTGTACTCCGACTTACTTTGTGTCCTTTTAGTTTTATGTGATGAGTGGTGGATTCTTGGGGTCTAATCATGAAAATTTACATATTATTTGTTAAGCAATGAAAGCTACAGCCCTGTGCTTGCCAGGCATAATGTTTCTTCGGTGTGTGATTGTTTCTTCCTTCTCTTCTCTTTGTTTCAAGGAAAACCACCATTGGAACGAACTGATTCAGGATGCTCAGAAGCGTGGTGCCATCATCAAAACCTGTGACAAAAGCTATAGACATGATGCAGTGAAGATCCTGAAACTCAAGCCCCAGCTGCAGCGGAGTCTGACCCACCCCCCTACCATAGCCCCTGAGGTGTCCAGGCCCCAGGGCGGCCTGCCCAGCAACAGGCTGGACAGTGGGCTTGCCACAACGTCCTCGGCTGCCTCTCTGTACCACAGCCCCTCTGACTCCAACGAAGCTGCTGTCACTGTAACTGCAAGGGACCCAGAAAGGTCGCCCCTGCAGGAACGACTTCGGGACCCACGACTGCTCAAGAGATTTGAGGCTGAAGCCAAGGCAGGGACATTCCTCAGGGATCCACAGGCCATGAGCCCCCAGCATCCTGGAGGGATGCCTCCCTGGGCAGAGCTGGGCTTTTCTGTGACTTATCAGGACTTTGGCGGTGCCCTGCAGCCACCTGCTGCTAATGTCGCCCCTCAGAGCCACTACAGACCTCTGGCACAGGGTGAGCCTCCCGCTGCTGGCACTGATGCATTTGTGAGTAGAAAAGGTGGTAACCAGGAGGGCGGGCTGGGTCACAGGAGAGAGGGTTGGGCCTTCAGTGCGGGCGAGCAGGAAGAGGACTGTGGCTCTGCGACTTACTACCCAAAGAACTCCGCCTGGGACAGCAGGGGGGCAGAAGAGGACAGCAGTTCGAAGAAGAGAAAGCTTTTGTAGTAAAGCCATGTGACGGGACTGGACTGTCAGCCCTGGGCATTCTGTAAACTTAAGGTGACCACTGCATAGGACCACTCAGATGAGGTGATTCTTTTTTTTCCCCTTTAAGGAGTTTGTGTGCTGTTGGAAAATAAAGAAGTGTGTCCGATGCCTGAGCCTTCTGGTCACCTTGAGTAGTTTTTGCCAGTTGCTCAGTTTTCTGAGGGCATCTGTGCATCTGTAGTAACGCACGCCTTTGACGGCAGGACTCTTGTTTTCTGAGTGGTCAGCTCTGGAGGTCAGACTGGAGTGAACGTTGTAAAAGTTGCAGTGTATATTTGTATAGCAAATAACAAGACACTTTTAAAGTTTAATGTTCTAGACCACTTTTCTTTTCTCTGCTTACAATGTTGATCATTTTTTAATGGAACAAACTGTTTATTAAAAGAGGAAGGCTGGTGCTTTCATCCATTGTGATGGAGACAGGGTTCTGTAACAGCCTAGGTGTTTGGGATGAACAGTGAGTGCCAGGGGCCAGGGGTCTCTCAGCTGTGTTTAAAAAGCCAGGGTCCCGTGGGGACCTTGGGGAAGTGCAGTCACAGGAGAAGCTGTGCCGATCCCAGGACATGGTCTGTGACGAGTCCCCGGGCTGTCTCAGTGCACACAGCTCCCAGCTAACGCCCTCACTCTTCCCAAAGCAGAAGAAGGCTTGCACCGTCCCGTTCAGGCACCCCGGCGTTGGTGAGCCTCGTGCAGCTGCCAGGGAAGATAGGTGCTGGGGTGGCCGTGGAGGAACTGCCTCCAGTTGCTTAGTTGCAGCTTGCGGAGCGCCAGCGAAATGTAACTCTCCAAGGAGTCAGATCAGCAGGCCGCTGCGGGACCACGGGGCAGGCTGAATAGAGCACTTCTGTTGGAAAGATCCACTCCAAGAGGAGTCACAGCAAGAGTTGAGAAAAAAAAAAAAGAGTTGAGGGAGCTGACAGATCACCCTCCGCAGCACTGCCTGGCGGCCGCGTGGCATAATCCTACCACCTGCTCCTCGGGGAGCTGACTGCTCTGCTGGGGAGTGGCGGGTGGCTGCCCTGGTCCAGGTCCCCAGGCATCCACACGCAAGCAACTGGCCGGACAGCCGGTGGTCTGACAACTGAGGGCTTGCAGTGAGTGCCGAGTGGCCCGTCCGCTCATTTGAGGCAAGAAGACAAAGTCCTAAAGATGAATGGGCACTCTCTGAAACAGTGCCTGTTATGTGTCGTCTGCTTTTTCAAGCAAAAAGTTTTGTGTAGAAATTCTCTTGGCACAGTGTAGGAGCTTTGGGTAGCCAGCTTCTGGGCGCCCGGCTTCCGCACCCTGTTGTTCCCTGCACCTCTCCCACTGTGCCTGCAAGTGTGACTTGTGTCAGCTGAACACCCCCAAACCAGGGAGCAAGCACTTTGTGCCCAGAGCTGGGCCTGCCTGTTTGTGGGTGCAGTTTGTCCTGGGCTGCGTGTGAGGAAGTTGGGGTATGGGGCCCACTGTGGTCCAAGCTTCCTCCACAGACTTTGGCAAGAAATCTCATTATTACCCTACGATTCCTTTCCTGCTCCCACGGCAAAGTGCTTGTCTGAAAACTCTGGGTTTCTAAGGGCGGCGTGAAAACCAGCGGGATCCAGCATTGCCCTGTGCTCATGCTAATGTAACACGTGGCTCGGGAAGGCCATCCCCACAGCGTGCACGCGGCGTCCTCTCCACTCAGGAGACTTCTCAGGCTGTGTTCATCTGCTGGGTCACCACTCACTGGCTTGTTTGTGCCCAAAGCAGCAAAACTCTGTTGTCTTTTGTTGTCTTTCTTTTCTTTGCGGTGCTGGAGATGGCGGTCAGGACCTTGTGCACTCTGAGTACGGTTGGACCTGACATTAAATTTGAAACTTATTTATTGCAGTTGGAAGCGTATTTGCAGGGCGGCATGTGTGCCAGCTGTGGCCTTTGCTGATGTGGCCGTCACAGCGCTGTGCTGTTGTACGGTGTCAGCCTGGAGGGTGAGGAGTGCCACGTGCATCCCTCTCTCAGTCTTAGTTTTCTCAGTCGTAATACTGTATGTCCTACTTCAAAGCTTGAGTTGCTTTTTTGTACATAACTTGCCTTGGATTTATTGTGCAATTTGTTTATATGTTTTTGTGAATTATCAGGAGTAGATTTGATAAATACATGTGAATAACCTCCTGTAAATAAATTTTATAACAAAAATGTACTAAACTATTTTCTGAAATTAGTTGTGCAGATTGAGAGTTCTTGCTGTAGCTTTGACTTTATGCTATGGATTCTTAGCTGGAATTTGGCACAGTAGCTCGGTTGCCTGGTTAAAACCTAAATTTTAAGAGAAAATGACAATTAAAAATAGAAATAAAACTGAGATGCGCTGGAAGTTACGTGTGACTTGAGTCGAGCCCTGTCTTCGCCGCGCCTCGGTGGGGATTGGTCGTTGGGACCAACACGGGAAGCTCACTCTGCGGCCCGGCCCGGCTGGCTCGGGCTCCTGGCTCCTGCTGCGCCCTCAGTGCGGTGACGAGGTGGTGACCGGTGCGTCTTCTCAGGCAGCAGTGGAGCTCAGTTGTGTGGTGCACAGGCATCTGCAGGGCCACAGCTCACCTTTAGCCGGGGTGGGGAGGGTGAGGTAGGAGGGACATTAGGGGATTGCGTGGCCATGACCGTGGCCGGAGTCCCAGAAGACAGGAGGCAGTGCAGGCTGTCAGGGGCCCCGGCCAAGTGGCTGCTGGAAGTGGGGCACTCTGTAAGCGCAGGAGCTGGGCCTGGGGCCCCTGCGGCCCTCCCGTGAGCCTGCCGAGGGGCGCTTTGCCTCAGCCTTGGCTCCTCCTGGGCCCGTCATGGCACAGCCGGCTCAGCCGCCACACCCTGCTAGTGTGTAGCACAGTGCCAGGATGGCCTGGTGGCACACCCGCGGGGGACAGGGGGCAATAAATTTGCCAGATGACCCGACGAGGGGCTGCTGTGTGACAGCCACTTGGGCATTTCGTCCCTGCAGTCCCTCCTGACGCAGCCCCCATGCGTGCCGCCACTGCCTGGCTTTCACCATTCATTGAGGACCAAATAATTCAAGGAGGAAACTAAAATTTAGCTTCAGCGTCAGTGGAATTTATAGTGTTGTGCAGCACCATGAAGGCAGTTTGTGTACACGAGGGGCCCCTCCCACCTCTTGGAGACCCGAGTCACCGTGACCCGGTGCTGCTGTACACAGGACACTCACCAAGCCATGCCGGGGCATTGGCAGGGGCCCTGGACAACTCAGCCGCCGCCGTGGGCTCACTTTCTCTACCCAAACAGTAGTTGGGCTTTGATCCCATTCTGGTTCTTTTTACCAGGAAGCCCTAAAATCCCAGGCTGTGAGCTCGAGGTTCTGGAAGGAAGAGACGAAATGAGTTATGGTGGTTTGTAACGTGTCCGCCTGTGTCCTGAGGTCCCTGAGTGCCCAGTGTGGGGCCCAGAGGACCTGGAAGCCCGAAGCCCTGCAGCCCTGCAGCACTGTGGTCCCTTAGCTACTGGCTGGCCAGGGTAGGGCAGCACAGGCCTGCAGCAGCCACGCCCTTCCTCAGCGTCTCCAGTCCCTGCCAGGTGGGCCTTTGCCTCTGTGGCAGAAGGCAGGACCCAGCAGGACACCCCACTGTCTCCACAGCTACAGGTTCTGACCACCCTTGGGATGGGCTGTCCTTGCTGTCCTCGTTTCCGGCCTCCACCACCAGACACTCCCCCTTTTATCTTGGTTGCCATTTAAAAGCCCCCCCTCGCAGACAGTACAGTTTTTGCATTCAAGGGTCATGCAAATTGTAAAGCATTTAAGAGGAGAGCAGCCTTACCTTTACCCAGCTATTCTCCTTATTCCCAGTGTTCCTACTTGCTCTCAGGACTCATGTCCTTCGGCCAGGAGCACTGCTCATTCAAGAGGAGAGGAGGTCGGCTGGCACTGGAGCCACTCGGGTCCCACGTGGGACAGTGCTCGATGCCCTCTCTCCTGGTGTCGGGCTGGATACAGAACTTGGGACGCCGGCCCTTCTGTCCTTGTCATGCCAGTGTTAGTCCCTGTGCTGGGCTCTGCATGTTTGTGCCCTCGTAATTCATTGAAACTAAGTCCCTGGGGTGGAGAAGTGAGGGCCACCAGGTTCTTCCATTAAGAAGCAGAACTGTTCCAGTCCACTGCATCCTCCCTTCCTTTTACTTTAAGGGTTTTTACCTTTTCATAGTTAACATAATTTCCTGGTTGTGGGCACATTCACCAATGGTAATGGGTTAGGTAGCGCGCTCGCTCGCTCTCTGTGTGTGTGTGTGTGTGTGTGTGTGTGTGTGTGTGTGTGTGTGTGTGTGTGTGTGTGTGTGTGTGTGTGTGTGTGTGTGTGACAGGGTTATTCAGGTCGGGCTGGATGGGCTTAAACTCACCCTGTAGCCCAGGCTGGGCTCCAACTCACCGTGATCCTCCTGCCACACCCTCCCTAGTACTGGGATTGCAGGCGTGCGCCACCACATCTGACTTGTATACTTATTTTATCTTTCCACTTTTAATTTTTACAGACAAGGTGAATTACCTTTATAATAAAAATAATTTTACAGGGCCGGGGATGTAGCTCAGTGGCACCGCCTGCCTGGCAAATGCAAGGTCCGGAGTTCGATCCCCGGTACCGAAAAACGTAATAATTTTACAGAAAATACACTAGTTTCTTAGCCAGTCTCTCTTTAAAAAAAGAAAGAAAGAAAAAAAAACAAAACTGTGGAACAGGCCCCGTGTTCACAAATTTCACCCTGCCCGCGGCGGGATGCGAGGGTGAGTTACATTACGGCCGCCAGGCTGGTCGCTGTCCCGGTCCCTGTCCCGCCGCAGGGACCCCGCCCCTTCCCCTTTCCCGTACCCTGAGCCCCAGGGCTGGCTGGGGCGTGCGGGGTGGGCTGGGGGTCTTGGGACGACGTGGCAGCCCCGCGCTACAGGGGTGGCTCCGGGCGACTCCGACTTGGACTCCTTCCGGGCGGGAGGACCTCCGCCAGGGTCCCCACTTCCAGGGTGAGAGAGACCCGCGGAGTTCCCGCCTCCTGCTCCCGGCCCGGGCTGTGCGCAGCGCCCCCGGCGGTCCTCTAAGGACACGAGGCAGAGACCCTGCGCAGGCGCGCTGGGCACCTAGCATCCGCACTCCCGCCCGCTGTACCAGGTCGCCAAGCTCCACTCCCCGTCCCCGCCCCGGCCGCTGCCGACCAGGCTCAGCCTGCACCCGGTATTCATCACAGACGCACCCCACGCCCAGCCTCGCCACACCCCCACCTGGCTGCCTTCACCGACCCGGAGCCCTGCCTGGGGCCTGGCACCAGCTCCACGCGCCTGGACATGCGTGTCCTCCACACGGAGCTCTTACGTTTCAAACATTTCAACATGCAGGACAGCAACAGTGCAAGGGACACCCTGTCCCCTCTGTCCTCATTCCCTTGGATCCTTTACCTTTTAAGGAAAAAGAGCCAAGTGGGCATAGTTGGGGCCACCCTCTCCCCTAGAAGGGCCATCAACCAGAGATGGGGAGTGGCAGTGCCCAGGGACCCCTGTGCCTGTCACCCTGGGACAGCGTACTAGGTAGAACACCCTCAGGGACAGGCTGTCCCATCTCGAAGCTCGGCGGTGCGGGGCTCCCAGCTTGGTCTACTGTCGCTCTCACTCCAGGGCGACTTTCTGGTGCCTCTGTGCTAGGTTCTCTCCAGGACACATCCTCGGTGAGGAATCACGGGTCACGAGCCTATCACGCCAGCTGTGACTCCGAGGCAGGACACTCCCCTGGTACCCATGTCTCTGCCCCGCCCAGCAGTCACACGGTGGGCTGTAAAAGTGCTTTCCTGATCATGTTACTCTGAACCCCTTCGACTGGTGCTCTACCCTGCCTAATTCCACCCGCTGAACAATTTTTAAAAATTATTTAAACATTACCTATTAGTTTTGGTTGGCAGAGAGTGATCGTACATCCTTTGGGATTCGCTGTGACATTTCCTCACGTACACGGCAGGTGAAGATGGGGTCAGGGTAAGCGGCACATGTATCATTCAGACATTTAGCATTTCTTTCTTTGGAGGAAACTTCCGAAAATCTCCCTTTGGAAATAGTTGATTGTTGGCAGCCGTGGTTGCTCAGCTGGGGTATGGAACGTCAGAAGTTATTCCTCCTGCCCACTCCCTCTGGACCCCATGCCCCTCCTGGGCCGGGGCGACCCTGTGTGAGCATCGCTGCAGGCCCATGATTTCCTTTAAGAAAAAACCAGCCTGGCCTCAGGTAGAAAAAGGGGACAGTTTTCATCTTTGCCACTGGAATAGACTTGGGTAACCCGAGTTGCATTTTCCTTTGTGGTATATTGTACTGAGGGTGGAGCCCAGGGCCAGGTATGTGCTAGGCAAGTGTTCTACCAGTGAGCTGGATCCCCAGCCCTTTTCATTTTGCTTTGAGACAATCTCACTAAGTGGCCCACACTGGGCTTAAACCTCAGATCCCCCTGCCTCAGCCTCCCAAATAGCTGGGATTACAGGCATGGGCCACCCAGCCTTACTGGGTCTTGAGTGTGTGTGTGTGTGTGTGTGTGTGTGTGTGTGTGTGTTACTGGGATTGATCGATCTCTGGACCCTCACGATGAGCTACATCCCCAGCTTTTTTATGTTCTGTTTTGAGACTAGGGCTCATTAAGTCCCTAAATTGCCCAGGCTGGGCTTGAACTTGCAACCTTCCTGCCTCATCCTCACAGAGTGCTGGAATGACAGGCGTGCACCACTATGCCGGCCCCTCCTGGGCCTTAACACAACTAGGGATGTCACTGGTCCTGTTTGGGCCCAAGGGACATGTCCACCAGAGCCAGCCCACGGAGAGGGGCCCAAGCCTCATCTGAACCCCACGTCTGAGGTCTGCACCGGGACTGCCTGTCATGCACGGCATGTGGACCTGTGGTGCATGGGCTCCTCTCTCCCCGGCCTGGAACCATGGGTGCTGCCCCTGGTGGCCCTTGGGCTCCAAGCCAGCCTGCAGACAAAGTTTGCAGCCCACCATGCCTCGAAGTGGGCCCGGCCTGTGGGGGCCCCCAGGAGCCCCATCACAGACTCGCAGGCCACAGCTTCCTCAGGGGCCAGGTGTCTCCTCCCAGCCCTCAAGGCCTCTGGGAAGTGGCCCCGCCAGCCTGCACCCCAGCCCTTCCACACCTGCGGAGGTTGCTGGGTGAGGGTGAGGTGCACAGACAATGCTGCCATGGATGGGCTTCCCAGGGGTGGGGCAAGCTGCCCCCCGCCCGGTCCCCGCTGCACCCCGCCAGCCTCCTTTGCCTGCCACACTTTCTTCAGCCCTCATCCCTGCAGGCCTGGGCCCGGGCTTGGCAGGTGGTGTGATGGGGTGCACAGTGCCCCCCAGTGTGTTCACAGGGCCCCGGTCCTGCCTGGCAAGCTGGCAGGCGGATGGAGTGGGAGGCCCAGGGCTGTGCCTGCTGTCGGTGGTGCCCAGCCCTGGGACCCTGAGCGAGGACTCACTGTGAGGAGCGGGGACACTGGGGATACAGGGGCACTGCTCTGAGCTCTGAGGATTTGCTCGTTCAGGCCTTGAGCGGCCCTGGGACGTCTCATTCCCGATGAGGAGAGGAAGCACAGGGAGACCGGGTACACTGTGAGAAGTCACACAGCTGCTGGGTGGCAGAGGACAGCATCGCACCCGGGGGGTGATGCCAGAGCCAGTGGCCTCTGCTGCCGCCTTCCCTTGGGGCAGCCGTGTGGGGCTGGGCAGCTGTGAGGCACCAGCTCTCTCCTGGACCCCTTCCTGCTGCCCTGGGCTGGGTCCTGAGGGCTCCTGCTCAGCCAGCCAGGGAACGTCCTGGGGCGGGAAGCCATCTGGAGCATCTGCGGCCCCCACCTGGCTGGGTGTCTGCAGGACAGCAAGTCTTCCCAGCCACCGGCACACAGCCCCGGGGCTCTGGGGACCCAGGCTGACTCTGTCGTGCCAGAGTGGGAGGGGCGGCTCCTGTCCGAAGGCAGAGGTAGAGGCTGTTCAGTTCAGCGTGACCAGCGATGACAGGGAGCGTTTGCCTTCTGGACCTGCCTCTGCCCTGGCTGTGTGGCCCTGATGGCTGATGCCCACTCTGTGGTTCAGGCTTCTTTCTCTGTCCCCTTCCTCTTGACGGGGACATTCAAGGCACAAGGGGTGGCATACGATGGCCCGGGCTGGGATACCCAGGCAGCACTGGGGGCTCTGCTCTTGCACCCACCCTGGCTGGGCTATGGGCTGTGGCTCCCAGCTTTGTCCCTCCTGCCTCTAGCTGTCCCGAGTGTCCCTGGGTCCTGTGATGCTTTGGGTACTTGCCCTCGATGGTTAAATCACCCAGAGTTGTTTTGGGGTGCTTGTAGCTCAGGTTCCTGGCCAGGACACTTGTTGCCTCAGTGTGTGCAGCTGTAAAATGGGAGTCTCCACAGAGTCCACTTTGCCAGGTGTGGTGGCACACACCTGTCATCCCAGCACTCAGGAAGCTGAGGCAGGAGGATTGCAGCAAGTTCCAGGCTAGCCTGGGCTACATGTGAGTTCAAAGCCAGCCTGCACTACATAGTGGGACCCTGTCTCAAAAACCAAAGAACTTAAACAAACACAACCCCTTCTCAGCATCGTGGTGAGGACCCTTGAAGTTATTTCCATCAAGATGGTCCCATAGGCATCAGCTCCCACATTCTCTAACACAATAGGTGGCTGCGGTTGGTGATTTGTTATTTATTTAGGTTTTCTGAGACAAGAGCTCACTTGGTAGTTCAGGCTGGACTTGAACTCCCAACCATCCTCCTGCCTCAGCCTCCTGATTGCTGGGATGACAGGCGTGTGCTTCCATGCCTGGTTTACAATTTATTCTATATCAAATAGCTACAAGAGAGGATTTTGAACATTCCTAACACAAAGAAATGATAAATGTTTGACGTGATAAATGTGCTAATTACCCTCATCTGATCATTACACATTATATACATGTATCAAAATATCACACTTCAGCCCCTCAAAACTATGAAAAAATTTTTAAAAACCCCAAATGTCAGGGCTCAGCACAGAAGCATAACAAAGGCTGAGATGGGAGGGTGGGGCGATGTCTGTGTGTGGCTTTTGTTGTATGGAAAAACACTAGAAATATCCATCAGGAAGTCTGAACAGTTATGGGCCCGGGATGAATTGTGGGTAATTTTAATTTAAAAATTATTACGACTTTGTTTTCTGTATTTCCTAACTTGCTTTCACGTTCTGATTTGTGTTTTTAAAAGGCAAATAAATAAGAAAGCTTTTCTTCCACCCTTCTGGCCCGAGATGTGCAGGCTGGGCTGGGGCCCCTTGGGAGAGGGGGGTTCGTTCTGCTCAGGTCACCCTGGCCTGCCAGGAGATGCCCAGGCTGCTCCCTGGACGCCCATAAATGCCTCCTATGTGTAAGGCACAGCGGCCGGCAGGAACTGCTGACGCAGCAGCCGTTTATCTGGGGGGCTGTGCAGGGCGGCACGGGAGGACCCCTCCGCCGGAGCTCCCTTGGCTCGCTGGCCTGGCGGTCTGAGCCCTGGAAGGAGGCAGGCAGGGAGGAAGCCACAGGGCAGGGGCAGGGGTGGGCATCTGCCTGCCTAGGGCTGCTGAGGGTTGGTCCGGCCTGCTCCTGCTTCTTAGCAATGGTGTCTTCAGGCCTCTCCGAGCCTCCATTTACCCCTCTGCAAAGTGGGCATGGTCATCTCTTCCCAAAGGCCATGATTTCAACCTGGGGCAAGTTTGCACCCAACGTGGCCATGGCAGGGGCACTGCACAGCGCGCAGGATGAACCCCCGGCCTGGCGCAGACTCCCCCAGTCCAGCCCGTCCACAGAGTCAAGGCTGAAGACAGGGCCAAGGCCAGGGCCCAGCGCGGTGCCCAGAAGCTGCTGAAATGGGGTCTTTTTTCCGCTGAACCCCGGGGAACCAGGCACCAGGCAGCAGCTGCGGGGACCAGGGTGGTTTGCTCTGCACCTTGCAGCTCCGGTGACTCTGTTTTCTCCTTCTCTGCAGTCTGGAACCTGTCAGAGCTTTCCAAACGGCCGCTGGCAGCTCTCCTGCCACCTCCGGCCAAGGTCAAGGCCTGAGCTGCGTCCTCAGGGGCCGGGGCTGCCAGGCTGATGTACGGTGCCCTCTGCCGCCCCGTGCTGGCACAGGTGGGTCCCAAGGGCGCTGACAGAGGGGGCCCGGGAGGCCAGGCAGGGAGGGGCAGCTGCCTGCTGGGGTCCTGTCCTCCTAGGCCTTGGGGTATCGCGAAGGGCCACGGCGTGCCAGGAGGGGTTGGTATTGGTCCATCCTCCGCCTAAAGGCCTGACCACAGCTCCCGGCTGCCCTGTCTGCCTGCAGGCCCCGCCGCACCTTGAGGTGTCCCCTTGCCTCCAGACAGCAGCTGGGCCTCCAGGGAACTTTCTGGAAGGCCTACCTATCACCTGGGCCGGACCAGGGGATCTACTTCCCGAGAAGCCCAGAGGTGTGCTCTGGCTCAGTGGGGACTCGAGGATCCTCTAAGCGGGGTTCTCGTAGGAGAAAGGTGAGGATGAAGCCAAGGAACATGGAGCCCACAGAAGGCTCTTCTTAGGGCTCAGGAGCAGACCACCTTGCGGCGAGCAGAGCAGAAAGTGCCCAGCAGGGGGCGCCATGGGCCTCAGATCGCAGCGGTCCAGCTCTGGTTCCTTGTTTTCCAAGGCTACATTTGGTCCAGCTCTGGCTTTGCTCTGTTCCTCGACTTGGGAGAGGGATCAGGCCCACAGTTCCCTGCCTGGAAAATGTGGCACAGCTGGCAGAAGCCAGGGTAAGGGAGTGGCCAGCAGGAGCGGTGGGAACAATTAGGAGTCAGGTCTGCCCATGCAGGGGCTCACCAGCCCGCACAGGGTGTTCTGAGTGGGCGGATGTTGGACCCGAGGCTCCTGCCCCACAAGTCTGGGCTGGCACCCACCAGGGTCCCCATGGAGTCAGATTACAGACCCGAGTGTGGGGCTCAGCCCTCCGAGAAGTCTCCCAGAGTCATGGCCCCGGGCTTCCTTGGGCAAATACAGCAAAATACCACCAAGGTCTGGGCTTTGAGGGGGGTGGGAAGAGATAAGCTCTCGGTTCCCGATACTCCTACCATGGGTCACCAGCAGGCTGTGGAGCATGACATGCTTGCTGGCCACCCTGCCAGGAGGGGTCTCCTGTCCTACTTCCCAGGTCCCCAGGAAGTATGGCCTGGCATGGGAAATCACGTAAGGATACAGAGTGTGTGTGTAGTACTGGGGACTGAACCCAGGATCTTTGGACTGAGCTACAACCCCAGCCCTTTTTATTTTTTGAATCGGGGTCATGGTAAGTTGCCCAGTCTGGGTTTGAATGTATGATCCTCCTGCCTCAGCCTCTCAGGATGCTGGGATTACAGTCATGAGCCACCATGTCCAGTTTTTAAGGGCACAACGTGGGTTCCTCCTTAAACAGCAAACCCGCGCGGCGTCCACACACACACACACACACACACACACACACAGAAAGGAAGCAGCCCCCGAGCAGCAGTGAACAGTCTTTACTCAGCCTGGTTATACATCGTCTGCCGCTTCGGTGACCAGCGCCCACCCAAGTCCCTCCTTACAGGGGACAGTTAATACAAACAAAACAGTTCTCTAAAAAAGGAAGTCACCCCACCCAACCCTCCTCTCTACCCTACCCAGACGGTCAGTTCTCCGCCAGGAGGCCCCTGAGGCCTGGGGTCTGGTGGGTTGCAAAGGAAAATAAAGAAAGAATACAAAAGAGAACCAAGTCAGCGACTGGAATTGTAGGCAGCTGGAGTTGGGGCTGCTGGCTGGTGGAGGCCAGGGCTGGGCCTGGAAGGTCCTGGGGCGGGGCAGGCCGGGCGAGCACCGAGCCCCCGCCAGGGAGAGGTGGCAAGGAAAGGGGAAGGGGAAGAACAGAAAGGAGGGGAAGGGAGGAAAGGGGAAGAGGAGGAACAGGGAGGGGCGCCAAAGGGCGGGGGCGGCCGGGCGCAGCACCGCGGCTCAGCCGCCCAACCGCGCCGCCAGCCCGAGCCCCAGGAGGCAGCCGAGCAGGGCGGCGGGGCGCGGGGAGCCCGGCGCGCGGTCGCAGTCCAGGCCGCCGCCGTCTGGGTCGCAGCGCGGCTGCTCGCAGCGCAGGCCGGTGTAGCCGCGCGCGCAGGCGCAGCGCTGGCTCTGCAGGCACGTGCCCCCGTTCAGGCACAGCAGCTGGTCGTCGTCGCACACGTTGGCTGCGGGCGAAGGGCGTTGAGCGGGGGCCCGGGCTCCCCGCCCGCGTGCTGCCCTGCCCGGGGCCGGCCGCACCCTTCCTCTACCGCCCTTCCGGGGCCTCGATTTCCCAGAAGCTCGCTCCAGCCCCTGCCGCCCACCATACTAGGCCCCGCCCCGCGCCTAGGCCCCGCCCCGCACTCACGGTAGCAGCCCTGGCGCCAGTAGTGCGTGGGCAAGCAGTCGTCGCACTTGGGCCCCGCCGCGCCCTCGCGGCACTCGCAGAAGCCGGTCTCGTTGCAGCGGTCATGCACGGAGCCGATCTGGTTGCAGTTACACTCTGGGAGGACAAAGGCGCGGGGGCGGGAGCGGTCAGGGCCTGCCAAGCCACCCCCGCGCCCCTGGGCGACTGACGGGGGCCGCCACCCTTCCCGGCCCGCCGCCCCAGCAGCGGAGCCTGACACGTGGCCGGCGCTCAGCGGGCAGCAGGTGTCTGCCCCGGAGGCTGCGGGTGGCAGCCCCCCCCGCCCCAGCTGGCATCCCTAGGGCTCCCCAGCCCCCTTCCCTGAGCCCAGTGCCGGCCCGGGGTGGAGACGAAGACCAGAGGCGGGGCTCTAATCGGACCCGGAGGCCGCGCAAGGCCTGCTGCCGGCCCTGAGCCTGGCGGCCGATTGTTTTGCTCACTGTAGAGCTGATGGAATTATCCTAGTGAGGCCGACAGCTGGGGCTCTGCAGCGCCCTGGGGCTGGGGCTGGGGCTGGGGCGGGATCCCTAGGGCCAGCCAGAGACAGGCGTGGGGCGCCCTGACCGCTCCCCCAGACTGGTGGGCGGGGGCGGAGGGCCACAGGCTTGGCCTTTGGGGACCGTCTGTCCCCTCTCCAGACCTAGGGTGCAAAGGATTTTCTTGCCCTCTTCCAGGCCAGACCTGCACCAGGGCAGTGCAGAAAGCAGGCCGGGTGCCTACTGCTTTATGAGCCGGACCCTTACTTAGAAAGCACTTGAGGGCAACGTCAGCGACAAAGGGACGCTGAAAACCTTTCACCTAAGCCGGGCATGGTTGCACACGCCTGTAATCCCAGCCCGTGAGAGGCTGAGGCAGGAGGATCCGTGGCCATCCTGGGCTACATAGTTGAAGCCCAGCCCGAATAATAGCGAGTCGCTGTCTCAAAAATAAAACAGGAAACCCTTAACGCAACAGAGCCACCACCTCACTTCCCAGTGGGGCGCCCAGCCTGCCCGCGAGTGCCCATGCTCACCAATGCACACGTTCTCGTCATCCAGCTCAGCCGACCCGTTGCGGTAGTAGCCCAGCCGGCAGTGCTGGCAGTGCTGGCCTCGAGTGTTGTGCTTGCAGCTGACGCAGGTCACCACGTTCAGAAAGTCGATGTAGCTGCAGCGGTTGGAGTGGCCATAGCACTCACAGTCTGGGACAGCCGGGTGGGAGAAAAGCCAACGGTCAGTGAGCACTGGGGGACACTGGGGCACAAGCAGAGGCAGGACCCAGCCGCTCCAGGACGTGCAGGGTGGGAGGGGGGACAGGGACAGGGAAGGTGTCATGGGCTCAGAGGCTTCCACTGCATTTGAAGAGCCAGGCCTGCCAGCTTTGGGCTGGAAGGAGAACCCAGAGGCCAGAGGCCAGCACCTGCCCTCTCCTGGCCTGGCGCCAGGGCCAAGCGCCCTCTGAAGGATGCCCACGTGCCAGGGTGATTAGCGAGTGATTCATGCAGGGAGGAAGGGTCACACGCCAGACTGAGTTCAGGAGGGCTGCTGGGGCTCTGGCAATCAGCACTGCATCCCCAGGGGTGGATGGATGCCAAATGCATGCAGGAATGCTGGGGAGGATAGAATGGGCCAGGAGCTCCCTCCGTGCTGCTCTGGAAAAGGGATGGGGGGAAAGTGCCCACTGTCCAGCCCACAGCTCCCTTTCTTATGTCTATTTTTCTTTTTGGTACTGGGGATTGAACTAACTCCCTTTCTTATGAACCTGAGCTTTCCACAAGTTTGGCTGGCACCAGGGCCATCTTGGTGCCACTGGGGACATTTTCCAATGCCCCCATCATGTGCGTCTTAGGCCAACCCCTGCCCAGGTGCTCTGCCAAGCCCCACGAGTGCCTGGGGCCCAGCTCTCAGGACTCAGGGGACCCTGGAAACAGCCCAGGAGTGTGCCCCATGGTGGGCCTCCTGGACCTGCCCTATACCTGTCTCTCTGGAGACAGCGGGGAGGCCACACACCCTCCAAGTGTCCCGCCGAGCGGCGCTGGTGACCTGGCTGCCCCTCGATGAGCCCCTGGGCCATACCTCCCCAGGGAGCCAGGACAGGCTAATTCCGGCAGCTGCTCAGGCCGCCCGGCATGTGCCTACCCACTGTGCCCAAGTTGGCTTCTGGCTCATCGCCTGCTCCCAGCTCCCTTGGGCCTGGAGGGCAGCGGGAAGAGACATTCACCTTGACCCAGCTACTGTGGGCGCCATTCAGGGCCCGGCATGGTTTTCTTTCCAGTGGACACGGGGAGATGCTGGGGAGGCTGGTCCCGCCCCAGGCCTTTCTCTTACCTGGGAACTCCTCCATGGGCACCACCCGAGGAGATTTGGGCTTTAGCTGGAGAAGTTTGGAGCCCTTGGCAGGGGCAGGGGCAGTGACGGAGGTGCCCGCAGCTTGGAGAGATGAGAGACAAGTTCTTTTGCCTGCCATGGCTCCCAGGCTGGACAGAGGCTCCCGAGGTGCCCAGCACCAGCTCTGGGCAGCCTTGTCACTTGCTGGGACTGGCACAGCCCGAGGGGGCAGGGACTGTTCCTCTCAGCACCTTGCAGAGCTGGCCCCCTGGACCCTCTTGGAGACATGGACACATCTGACTGCATCCGACCCCCAGGTGACTTCGCTGCACCGAGACACTTGCTGGTGCATGTCCTCTGCAGTCTGTCCCTGGACTGCCACTTGGAAGTGTCACTAAGCCGAGTGAGGGCAGCGCCTGCTTCCACTGCCTGAAACCCCAGGGGACCCAGCCTGTATTTGTAGTGCACACACCACTGTTCTGAAACCGTCACTGTCCACACTACCGTCTGAGAGTTGGTGGCATCTCAGTGTGTCCAGGGCAGGGAAATGATGGCCACAGCTGTCTCCTTCTCCCTAAGGGAGAGGACTCCTCAGTGCAGGGCGTCCAGATGCCCCAGCCTCTCACCCTGACTGCAGGCAACTGCTCTCCAGCAGAGGGTGCTCAAAGCCCTGGTTGCTGCTCCTAGCTGGAGTGGCAGGAATTCGAGGTGCTGGGTGGGGCGGGGTCACAAGGGCTGGGAGCAGGCTGCAGCGACAGTGCCCTTTCTTGAAGTCAGGCAGGCCTCCTGCGTGTGTTCACCTGTGGCCTGGTGCTCCTGCGTCCCTCCCGCCCTCGCTTCACCCCCTTCTAGTCTGTCTGTCCCATCTGTGCCCTCCTGTCCCGCCCCGAATGGAGGGGTGGCAGGGGCTGGGGCTGCCAACATCACCCTGGCGCCCCTACACCTCTCCCCTCCCATCCAGGTTCCCCTCGGACACCCCAGCCTCCACCGCTGCAGAGGGAGGACCCAAGCTCAGAAGGAGCTGCCAGCCCTGCCCCCGTACCTTCAGACCCAGAGGACACCTGGGGCCAGCAGGGGCCCTGCCCAGAGGGGGTCACTGTAGATGGCCTGGTCCACTCTTGGGGGGAAGAAGAGAAGAAACCAGGTTATGTGAGGGGGCGACATCCCCACAGCCCCACAGGGCCCTGGTAAGAAGCGACACTCTAAGGGAGCAGCTGTCTACACTGGCCGAAGACCGGGGTCCAAACACACTACAGAGGTAGCGTCTACACTACTGCAGCCTGTGGGGAGCACGCACACATGGGAGCCAGAAAAGAGGGGGCCCCATGCCGGGAGTCTGCATGTCTGGGGCAGTCCTTTCTTCAGGGGGACACCTGAGTCTGGGGACCCCCATGTAGTTCCTGTTCTGACTGAGAGTGACGGAGAGGGGAGGGGAGCTGTGTCCTGGCCTGGACACCAGGTGTCCCCAGTCCAGCCCATCCAGGGACCTGTGTCCCCCGTGTTGGCCACCTCCCCAGGGACCCCCCTCCCACCTCCCCGACCCCTGCTCTGAGCTCATTTCCCCCGGGGACCCCAGCTTGAGGCTCCCTCCTTGGCCACAGTGCTCATTTGCTCATTTCCAAGACTAACTGGATGCGCGCAGAATTCAAAGGACAGGCGGCAGGGCCAGGGGAGCGGTCTGATGTTTTCGCTTCTTACAGGGATTACGCTCGGTGAGGGCTGATGGGCAGAGACAAAGAAAATCTCCCAGCTAAAAGTGCGGCAGGCTTCCCAGCTGGGTGCCGGGCGCCTCTGGACATCAAACTGACACTAATATGGTGTTCAGTGAGGAGAGGAGGGCTGCAGGACCCCAGCCGGCAAGGGCTTAATTAGAGCCTTGGCAGAAGCAGCCCTGAAGGCATGCGGCTCTGGAGCCCAGGCCTGCGCTCACTGCTCACTCGGCTGGGAGGGAGATGCCCGGGCCAGGGCTCAGGACCCTGAGGACTCTGGCTGGAAGGTGCACAGAGCTGGGAGCTTGTCTGCCAGGGAAAGCCTCTGCCTGCTCTCTGGGCTGCTCAGGTGTGCGGGAGGGACGTTCTCAAGGTGCCCGCCGCATGCCAGGAGCAGATGGAGGCCCGGCTGTCCCTAAGATCTGGGAGCTGAGGAAGCCAGGGCTTAAGGACAGCTCCGCCTCCCAGCTTCCCAAGGCCTGAGTGCGGTCGGTCGCTGGGTGGCAGAGGGGCAGAGGCGGCTGGAGCCCACAGCCTCCGGCCTGAGCACCAAGGTTTCTTCCTTTAAAAATGGCTTCATGGAGGCGAGACTGACACACCAGGAACCCAGCTGCTTGCCCTAAGCCTCTGAGCCTCCCTGTCTCCGGGTAGTCAGGGCCCAGCTCTGGGCGGGAGGAGGCCTCTCTCTCCCCCAGCTCTTCCCTGGGTATCTTTAGGAGCAGGGGAGCATGTGCACCCAGCCTTGCACCCCGACAGATCCGTCTGGAGCCAGACCTGGCACCCCCACACCCTTCATGATTATTTTGCTTCTGTCCACCCATCACAGGCTCAGCAACAAAAGCAGAAGTCTCAGGAGCCTGGGAGTACAAGTCAGCATCTTCCTCTACCCTGAGCGGATGCCGGGTCTTGGGGGCTCCTGGGATCCCACCAGCCGCTTGGCCGGCCAAGAGGGGAACGGAGCCACGGAGGGCTGCTCCCAGTGCCCAGGAAGGGGACTTGGTCAAGGCAGCCGCTGCCACCTGGGGCTGTGCAGACCCTGCCAGAGGGCTCCCTGTCCTTGGATATGTCTTCTGTCACAGGACAGTCAGGGCACTCCCTGGTGCAGGCCAGGATGTGTTACCCACAACAAGCACGGTTCCTTCCAGGCTCCGGCACACGCAGGGGCTGCTGCCTGGCAGGTCACCCTGGGGAAGTCCAGGTGAGACCAGAACTCTGCTCCAGCACCCACAGGTCTGCCTTTGGGGGGACTTAGGATCAGCCAGGGTTCCGAACCCATCTATGGCTGAGACACCTGCGGGTGGTCCCGCCCCACACCCACGGCCTCTGGGTGCCCAGCAAGTGCCCTGTGGCTGCTTCCTCCGAAGCCTCCCTTCTGCCTTTGCCGGCTCAGCTAACCCTGCATCCTACCCGCCAGGTGGCCGGTGCGGGTGGGGCCCGAGCCAGCGCCCCATCTGACGGCAGAGCTGAGCACCCTCAGGTGACCAGGCCCTCTCCCTCTGAACATCTGCGTGGCCTCACCACAGCCGTGGAACCCTCCTCCCAGGGCCCCTGTGCCACACTGGTCTCAGGCCCCTTCCGAGCAAGGAATGTGTTGGAGGGGCAAGCGGAAGGCCAGACCCCAGGGTCACCCTGGAGCCCCCTTGGCCTGTTCCTGGCAGTTCTAGGGTGCTAACGATTTCTACTCTAAGAGGTGTGCCCCACGGCAGAGCAAGGCAGGACCGCTGGCTCCAAGCAGCAGGGGACAGCAGAGGTCACTGGCTGGAGCCTGGCACCCACCTGCGGGCTGTGGGGGCCTGGGCAGGAGGCGTGGAGGGGGCAGAAGTCAAGGGGCCTACCCTCGTGGGCACAGTGGCCACCAGGGCTTTGGGGGCAGGGTCCTTCCGGGGCCTGCTGCTGCCTGGTGGGACAGGGGGTGAGGGTGGGGTCAGCGGGGTGGCACCTCTGAGAAGCCACGTGCTGTGACCACAGCTGTGCAGACCGCATCCCAGGCAGGGCCCGCCTTCCTTCCGGTGCCCTCTCTGGCCATTGTCAGGGGAGGGACAGTCAGGGAGGGATGTCCCCACCCAGAGGTGGAGGGTGACAATGTGTCTCAGAAACATCTCCGAGATGGGGCTCTGCCACCAGCTGGCCACTGGACCTTGGCAGCCTGCTGCTGCTGAGTCTCAGAGCGGGGCGTCCACAGGGTTTAAACGAGACACTACGGTGTCCTGTCCACACCAGTCCCTGAGCTTCCTCCTTTTGAGTTCTCGGGCTCCCTGCCCTCCTGCACAAGCCGCGCCCGGGTCTCCCAGCCCTGGGAGCTGGGCTGAGCTAGACACAGCACAGGGACAGGGCCTTGGGTCGCCCAGCCTCTCAGTGGGCCGGGCTGGCTGTGTGCCACCCACAGCAGGAGGAGCAGGGAGTCCACCCAAGACCAAGGTCCACACGAGGCCTGGGCTTTCCAAAGCAGCACTAACAAAGCTCCTGGGGTCCCGGGAGCCGCTGAGCTGCCAGCCACAGCAGGGCCACTGGGGAGGGACAGGGGAGAAGCAGATGGGGCATGATTAGCGGAGGGAGCGAGAGGCCAGGCCCAGGGCCCGCTAAGCCTCTTTCTCTGCCCTGCTCTTCCCAGCCATGCGGGAGCCCATGCAGCCATACTTACTGCCGAAGGCAGAGCCTGCAGCTGCACCTGCCGGAGACAAGAGGGTCATGGGCAGGTCAGACCAGGGCCCTGACAACTCCCCTTGGAGGGTGAAGCAGGGCAGGGGAGGCCCCTGGGGTGGGAGGAGACTGAGACCCTACATGCACTGCACGGAGCTTGGTGCATGGAGCGTGTCCTGTTTCTCACTGCCAGCCTGAGGGGAGGCGCTGCTATTGGGCCATTCTTTGGACAGAGAGAAACTGAGTCTCGGGGCTGTGAGTTCCCTGCAGGACATCGTGATGAGCATCAAACGCTCCCCTCCTGTTTAATATCAGACTCTCAGGTCCTTCAGCCGGAGCAATTGTGTATCCCCATGTGAAGGATGGACTGGAACCTTCCTAGTGGGCAGGAGCCGCTCTGTCCTCGAGGGGCTTCCGAGGGCCCATTCTGCAGACACTGGGTGAAGGAGGGCAGAGCAAGGTCCAGCCTGGGGCTGCGCGTGTGTGTCGGAAGTGGGAGGCCGAGGCTCCGGTCTGAGCAGAGGCCTTGTGGCCCCAGTGAAGAATGGGCACAGTGGAGGAGGAAGGACCCACCGACCAGTCCTCGCTGTGGGGGGCACTGTGGTGGCTGCAGCCGGCCAGGTATCTGGGTGAGCCGGGGCTGTGGCAGCCGTGTGGGCCACGGAGGCCTGGAGCTCAGCACTCCACCCCCTTTCCCAGCAGGCTGGGCAGGGCCGCGTCCCTCAGGGGACACCTCGGGGGTGAGGCTGACAGGTGGGCACCCAGGGTCTCGCAACGGCCGGATGCCCGGTGGTACAGAGAGGCAAGGCGACAGCTAGGCTGGGCCCCCGAGGCTGAGGTCCCAGAAGGGCAGCGGTTCCAAGCCACAGGGACCTATGTGGCAGGACCGGGTCAGAGGGTCCAAACACACGGCAGGAGACTGGCTACCGAGGCAGGAAGTGATGGGCGGGCGAGGGGCAGAGACCCCGAAGGGGCATTGTCCATGGGGCCTGATGACCGAGGGTTCGCTCCGAGGCCCCCAGGGCTTGGAAGCAAGGACAGGAAGGAGCCCCATGTTTGCTGGTGAGAGGTTCAGAGGGGAACAAGGCATGAGCAGAGCAGGTGGGACTGGGGAGGGAAGGAGCTGGCTCTGAATGTGGGGAGCAGGTTGGGGTGGGGTTAGGGGTGGTGACGGCCTGCTCTGGGGCAGGGGCGGCAGACAGGAGACCCCGCAGACTGTGCGGTGGAAGAGGAGAGCCAGAGGGGCTGGGAAAGGGCTGTGGGACAGATGGAGGGGAGGCGAGAGCAGCAGTCAGACAGGGAGTGACAGCAGCTAAAGGGAAGGCTCGGGACACAGAGCAGGACGGAGGCTGGAAGGGGGCCAGGCAGGAGGTGGCCGCCCGCACCCCAAGCTGTCTCAGCGCCTTTGAAGGCCCCGAGTGCTGCGAGGTGCCTAGCAAGTCACCCCTTCAAAGGCCTGTCACTGTGCTGGCCCCGGCCCACGCACTGACAGGCCTGTCACGCCCGCCCCAGCACTCTGCTTTGATCAGCCTAAAGCCATATAAATCTTTCACGGGAGGCCGGTGGGGCATCCGGAAGTGGGAGGGCTGCAGCCCAGCGCCTGCTTCAGCATCAGGTCCCGGAAGTGGCCTGGAGCCCCAATGCCGGCTGCAGCTCACTGTGGTACTGGGAGGGGCCCAAGGTTGGCCGGGCCTCAGTTTACCCATCTACAGGTGGGTGGCACCAGAGAGTGTTGGTGATCAGGGCCCAGGGCCTGGGAGCTCACTCAGGGCCTGGGGATCCCAGGGACCCATGATTTCAGGGACACACCAAAGCTTGTGCCGGGGGTGGAGGGGGGTGGGGGACCCCAAAGGGTGTGCACAGGGCTCCCCTGGTGTGCGAAGAGAAGACGAATTGGGCTGGCAGCCAGGCCCAGGGCTCAGAGGATGTCTCTGCAATCAGGAAAACAGGCACCCAACTCCAGGCCTGGATGAGGGAGGAGGAAGGGATACGCAGCACGCGGCACAGTGTGATGTGCAGCCAGCACCCCATGAAGTCCACGACTAGGGACAGAGCTGGGGATCCCCGCCCCCTGGGAATGGTGGGGGCTCTGGTGCTCTCACTCCCTGCATCCTGTGGGACCCTGCCCTGCATCCAGTGTCAAGGGGTCACAAGCCACGAAAGAGGCTGAGAAGCCCATGTGGGGTTTCCCTGCTGGGGCCTTGGCCGGAAGGGCAGTGGAGAGGTCAGCAGTAGAAGCTAGAGGGTCATTACCAGGCTCCTAATGAGATGTGTCTGTGTGCGCGTGTGCACGTCTGTCTGTTGGTGCGTGCATGCTTGTATGTTTCTGTGTGTGCATGTGTGCATGTCCACCTGCATGTGTGTGTGCGCCCCACAGCTCCAGGGGTGAAGGGCAGGGTGACAACAGCCCCCTGGCTGGTATCGGAGACACATACGTACAGGCATTGGGGGAGCCGTGGGGCAGCGGCAGGTAGGAGCCAGCACGCCAGGCGCGTGTGCGGAAGTTCCTCTTGCACTTGCCGCAGTCGGGGCCAGTGGTGTTGTGCTCACACTCGCACTGCAGGCTGCCTTCACGCACTGAGCACAGGCTGGCATGCAGGTTGCACTTGCACCTGGGGAGACCGCAGAGGGCAGAGAGGTCACTGTGCTGGTGAGAGTAGGCCCTGTGTGTGCAGCTCCTAGTCCCCCGTCCTGTGTCAGGTCCGTGGTGTTCTGAGGCCTGCCCCAGGGTGGAGGCTACTGTGCATCCCTGCAGCTGCTCCCTCCTCCACTTGGATGGTGGTTTCTAGGATGTGTTAGTCAGTTTTCCTTCACTGTGACAAAAAGCCTGGTAAAATCAACCTAAAGGAGAGGTTTATTTGGTTCACAGTTTCAGATGGTTCAGTCCATGGTCGGCTGGCTCCAAGACAGGAACATTGTGGTAGAAGGGCCTAGTGGAGGAAACCTGCTCACCTCATGGCAGCCAGGAAGCAGAGACAGAGAGAGAGAGACAGAAAGAGCCTAAGAAAGGAAGGGGCTGGGACCAGATAGAGTCCCCAAGATCACGTCTCTGTGACCCACTTCTTCAGTGAGGCCCTCCTCCTGTTTCAGTCACTCGCAAAAATGTCATTGAACGATATTTGAAGTTAGAGCCCATGTGATCCAATCACCTTCCAAAAGTGCCACCTCTGCTGCACTGGGGACATGCATGAGTCTTTGGGGAACACTTCGTATTTAAACCATAAAATAAGGTTTCCTGCATGTTGGGTGGGGTGATGGGATCCTTTGTCCAGGTTTTCTTTCTTTCTTTCTTTCTCTCTCTCTTTCCTTCTTGAGACAGGGAGGGTCTTAGCATGCAGCCTGAGCCGGCCTTGAACTCATGGCAATCTTTCTGCCTCAGCCTCCTGAGTGCTGGGATCACAGGCATGTGTCACTACACGAACAAGATGCTGTATTTAGGGCCAGGGGTTTAGCTCAGTCATGCTGCAGCCTGCCTCGCAAGCACAAGGTCCCAAGTTCGATCCCCGGTACCAAAAAAAAAAAAAAAAAAAAAAGATGCTGTATTTCTAGCAGCGTGGCTTTTAATCAGCTCAGTTTTGTTTTTGGTAGTGGGGATTGAACCCAGTACCTTCACACTGAGCTATATCCCCAGCCCTTTTTATTTTGTATTTTGAGATAGGGACTCATTAAGTTGCTAAGCTTCCCACCCTGAGCTAATACTTGCCAACCTCCTGCCTCAGCCTCCCGAGTGCTGGGATCACAGGCATGCACCATCATGCCCAGCTTCACCTCTGCTCTTGACTGAGGCAGGCTGATGGATAGCAAGAGCTGCTCCCAGTCCTTCTTGTGCAGACTGGGACCTGGCCATCCTGTGCTGTCAGCCAGGGGCCCACATGACACCTTCCAGGGCGACAGAGAGAACCCCCAGCTCCCAGGCCCAGTCAGTTCATCCACACATGCATTATTCATTTGTTCATTCAAATATTCATAGGCAGCTCATTATTCTGAAAACTGGTAAATAAAAGGAAAGAATCAGGCATTGATCCTGCCTGTCCTACATAAGCTGTACCTCAGGGTAACCAAAAGTTGACAAGGGGAAGTTTCTTTTTATAGAAGCATTTCATGGTAGAATCTGCAGCCCTTCTGAATGAAGGGCCCAGACTTGAGCAGCAGCAGACAGAACATCACACACAGGGATGGCCCGAGCTCGAGGTTCCTGCAGGGCAGCACTCCCACCCTACAGCCCGCGGCCTCGACACACTGAACTGGAATCCGGTCAACTCTCCACAGGAAACTCAGAGGACAGAACAACACACCAAGTGCCACCAGAGGGATGCAGCTGGCTCCATCCCAGCTGGAGCGAGTGCAGAAGCGGGCACCTGGGTTTTCAACAGATGAACTGCAGCAGGTACAAACCTAACAGAGGGAGGGGATCCAGACCAAGAGCCCCCCCCGCAAGGCAGGTCTGCCCATGGTGCATGTGCACCCGGCTGGATCACAGAACAACCCCGTGCCATCAATCAAATGGAATGTACATGAGTGAGACCCTCGGAAATCTGAATGCTGTTTGGTGAGATTGAATTAATGTTTGTTAGGTGTGAAGGTAGGATGTGGTTCTGTTTCTTAAAGTCTTTATCTTTTAGAGATACCAAGACGTATTTAAAATGAAATGATGTGGTAACAGATTTGCTTCTGTATAGCACAGAAAAGGGGCCCACGGGTAATGATGAGGCAGGGAGGGCCACTAGCTGGTGACTGGAGGGACAGGAATGTCACGGTCCATTCTCCCTTCTGTAGGGTGTTTGTTGGGAATTCTCCATGATACAAAGCTAAAGAGAGACAGTAGGCTCTAGGTTATGATATGGGGAGATTTCCAAGATACACTGTCAATATTTGGAAGAAGCAAATTGCAGACTAGTATCTTTAGTAGAACCTTATTTTTATTAAAATATGCAAAGAGAGGGATGTGGGGGGGCACCTGCTAGGTGGCAGGTGCTGGGCTGGGAGCAGTGAGCAGACGGTCCCTGCTGGGATGGGGCACTGGGTCTCACAGGGTGACAGAAATCAGTGATGGGGGTGACGGGGAGGAAGGACGAATAGACGGCACATGGAATCTTGGGGCAGGGAAACTATTCCGTAAGACTGCTGCGGCCATAGCTGGGATTCTGTGAGCCCACGGCAGCTCCATGTAAATGACAAGACTTTGGCCAGTAACTGTGAACTGGTGTGGGTTCATCATCGTAACAAACGCACCCCAGGAATGAGGGCGAGATGTCCACAGTAAGGGTCACTGTGCAGGGGGAGGGGTCTGTGGGGTGCAGGATCCAGTTCCAGGAAGAACAGTGTCCAGGCAAGGTAACGACCCCATTGGAAGGAAGGGAGAAAATAGCTTATTGTGAGCCACACTCCAGTGACCAGGACCTTGTCCTGAAAGCATGCTCAGAGGGAGAAGGCGCTGTGACCACTCCCACAGGCAGGGCACAAAGGCTGCTGCAAATCAGCATGTTCCGTGCAAGCTTGGGGGGCGTCACATGGTGGGTTAAGGGAAAACAGGGATTCCGACCAGTGGCCCGGTGCTGGGGATGGAACTGAGCCTCATGCATGCTAGGCAAGCGCTCACCACTGAGCTACCCCCATCCCCTCTTCCCAACCACAGCAAGAAGGAGAGGTCACTTCCTGACTGTTCAGGCAGCCGTGGGCTTATGGGATGCAGCCCCACCACAAGCATGGTCACCCAGACGAGGGACGCTTATGATGGTCAAAGATGATTCCAAGCCACAGGAATGCTCCTGATAGGAAGGGAAGACCACGTGGCTGGGTCCTCACCGCGCCAAGGCAGAACCATTGAGCTAAATCCCCGGCCCTCATTTTCATTTTCTTCTCTGTCACCTTCTACACTTCATGCTTTTTCTACAGTGAGGAGGCATGCCTTTGTAAACATATAAAAGGATTTTTAAGCCCATGAACCCACTCTAGATGATCTTATAGGGGTGGATCATGTCATTATACATAAGTCCAGTTCTTAAAATTTTTTTCTAACAGCATGACGGGAGCCCGGGTGGGGTAGTGCTTGTTCCCACACTCAGGCCTGTCCTCCCGGAGGAGCTCCGGTCTTCCAGGCTCCGGGCTGTTTGGAAGCCAGTTCTCCGGAGGTGGGTTCCAGCAGTGTTTGCTGGCAGGAAGGTCTGCTCAGGTTGAGACTCCCTAATCCAAAAATCCAAAGTCTGAATGCTCCCAAATCCGGAATGTGGCGGGCCGAAGTCAGGCAGCAAGTGGGGTATTCACATCTCGCCTCACGGGACAGGCAAGGGCACAGTGCAGCTGTGTTGCAATGCTGTACAAGTGAGCTTTGCGCTGTGTGTGTGCGGTGTGCATGAAACAGAAATGGATTTCATGTTTAGAGTCGGCTCCTTTCCCCAAGATAAGGGGTGTGATCAAATAGATGGAGAATGTTTCAATTCAAAGAAATGTACTACAGTCAGACACACTGCCACGAATCCCCCTCAAACTCCTCCCCTCACACGTCAAACACACTCATCCCATCCTTCTTGTCACTTTCTGGAGCAGCTCTGGAGTCCTCTTTCTTGAGTTTCTTTACAGGATGTGGTCAAAAATATGGTGAATGCTGCTGCTGAGCGCCATTTTTTCCACCAAATTTCAGCGGAAAGGGAGGGCCGTGAAAACGTGACGCTGTGTCCTCATCCACTTCATCCACCAGATCTGGCACTGTGTGACTTCTGGCTCCTCCCCAAAGTCAAAATGACCATGACAATTCAGGACACTGAGGCAGCCAGGACAGCCCAACGAAAGGCCTTCAGGAAAGAGGACTCCAGAGCCGCTGCAGAAAGTGGCGAGGACGGTGGCAGTAGTGTGCTCAAAGCATCGGGGTGGAGGTACATTTAGAGAGGAAATACTGGTAATAACAATGTGTCTTTTACTGCAAGAAATTTTTAAAAATTTAAAAGTCCACCTTAGCTTTGCTCATACCTCATATTTGCAAACATTCAAAAACTTGAAAAAATAAAATTTCCCAAACACTTCTGATGCCGAGCATTTCAGATAAGGGATGCTCGAGACACATGAAGTCCTCTTCCCCATCCAGCCGGGACACCACCCCATCCGTGTTTGGATGCAAAATGGAGCAGAAATAAATGGAGCATGAAGAACCCTGCTTACTCATTGCCAGAGTCCCAGCACCTCCAGCTCCGAGTCTGCGCCCAGGCTTTCTTGCTGGGCTCTGGGAAACTCGGGCACCCGGCACTGACAGCGCTGCCTTCGGGGAACACCAGGCCCACGGATGGTGGCATGGGGTGTCCTCTGCCGAAGCCTTGTTGGTCAGGGACCTGGTGATGTCCAGCTGCCCGCCCACAAGTGTGTCCCGCAGGAGGGAAGCCCTCTGACTTTGTCTGAGAAAAGTTTGTCACCGAACTGCATTTGACCTTGGAAGGTTTCAAGTTTTTTTCTTCTGATTCCTATTTAACACCCCACTGAGCCAGCCGGGGAGGAACATCCCAGTCGTGCAAAACCTGGAACGTACCCACGCCGCCAGCCCGAGGAAGGGATATTTTTAGACCTCAGCTACATAAAGAAAAGACTGCCATCAACTTCGGGTAGCAACACTGACCTTGGGTTA